CCCTACTCTTATATACTATGTTAATATAGGTATTTTAATTGGATTTACTACAATGTGTTTTTTTGTATGTGACAATATTGTAAGTATGCTGTATGCCATGTATAACATGGAATATTTATGGGGGGCTAACCCCACTTTCCCCACCTATCTCCCCCTAGTTGCGCCTAAGCCTTTGTACCTGTTATACCAATGGTTGAAGCAGGGCTTTGCATCCGAATTAACCCAAACCCGTAACACCCCTAAAAACCCTTAAAAAATCAAACACCCAAAACCCATATAACCATAAATATATTGATTTTTTTTTTTAAAACACCCGAATTAACCAAAACCCGAATAAAATATTGGTTTTAACCCGAAACCCAAATAATTTTTTATTTTACAATCTTTATGTGACATATCAATTTGTATGTATTTTTTGTGGTTATTTCAATTTTGTCATTACTTGTTTAATTATTAATTATTTTAATAAAAATTAATAATTTATTAAAATTATTATTCACAGGAATAATTTCACAAATAATATATAAAATAGTTAATTTATCTAAATGTATCTAAATAAAGACAATAGCAATATATCATATTGACAGGTGTGCATAATGCCGTAAATACAAAATAGGAGGCCCGTATGCGATAGTTATATTGGGCCCCTCCCTTGGACTTATTTTTGTTCAATTTAAGTATCAATTTTTTAGGTTTTAAAACACATTTCACATCAGTTAGTGTATTATATATATATATATATATATATATATATATATATATATATATATATATATATATATATATATATAACTAACTAAATACCTATAACTGTTGTCTATTATACTTCATTACATTTTTATGTAGTAAATTTATTTAAGTAGTTTAGGTAGGTATGTAGTATGCCTACTCAAATACTCAATGGACTCATTGTTAAATAAATATTATATTATTCTAAAATATTATAACAACCTTACCTGAATCTTAAAAAATTTTCTTTTTATTATTAAATAATTGTGTGTTTGTACAGTATTGTTTATTTCAGGTTGTGACTAGGGAGCCTTCCCAAATTTATGTAAACCTTGGGGCCCATGTGCGCTACACACTCTGCACAGCCGGTTTTTGCGGCACTGGGTATGCATGAATGGTATGGTATGTTGAATGTTCAAGTGTTAACAACTGGGATACTATTTTTAAAATTATCCCAAGCGGATACGTCGTATTATTATAATTTAATAGGTAATAGGTCTTCTACAACTTACCGAGTCGTTATTTATTGCAATACTGTAAGTCTGAAATAGAATTAATATCTTGCGTATGATTACCTAAATTGTTGTTCACGTTATTCGTATTTGTTCAGTGTATGGCGTGTACTACAAATGTCTATGTCATGAATTGTCAATTATTGTTGGTGTAATAATTTCATCGTAACATTCATAAGTATAAATTATTATTATTTCTGTATTACACTATGTCCTAGCTAGTGTGTTTTTAGTGTGCACGCACCACAAGCCATAATCGGAAATTTGGTAAAATTTGTGGGGAGGCTAAGCATTATTTGCTTATTATACCTATAGATACCACTGTGCGCAATCATTTATTTCAACAAGACAATTAACGAAGTTTGACAATTTGACATTTTTAATCAGCAATTTAAACAAAAAATCAATTAGGTGCCTCATCTTAAACATTTTTGGAGTAGGTATTCTAAGCAAAAATTATTAATTAATTAAATTAAACAATCTATACGGGTATTACATATTATTAATATAACATTGAATGCGATAATTTCAAGTTATGACAAGAAGTTTGTAAAATCTTACGAATTTGATTTAATTTTATCACAGAATATTTTTTTTTAATTCAGTTATTAAAAATGCATTTTACAATTATATTAATTATTGTATTTTAGACACAACAATTTTAGGGCCAGGGGGGCTAAGAGCCGTACTTTATATTTCTGGGGGGGCTTAGTCCCCTAAAGCCCCCCTGATTTTCGCCTATGTCACAAACACAAACGCAGAATACAAAATAGTTTGTTTTTTGTCGAATGTGATATGCCCGCACTAACTAGGAGTAGAACATAGTGTTTGTATTTTTAATTTTAATAGATATTATAATTTATCAGCTTTATACACATGTAAAGTAAAATCTCGCTTTAATTGTAATATCAGTGTTTTGCTGGCAAATAATATTAAATATTTATTATAATTAATCTCGTTTTTCTTTTAAACTGTATACTTCCGGTTTATTTTACTATGGAAGACACCGAATTTACAAACTCTTCTGATAAACTGGACACAATTATTAAATCAATCAATGAATTGAAAGTTACTCAGAACAAAATTATTACGGCAATTAATCAATTTCGTGAGGATAAGAAGGCCAATGATTTAAGATTCAATGATCTTAACGGTAAGTTAGACAATATATCCAAACAATTTAATGAATTTTTGATCAAAAACAAATCAATGGAAACTAAAATGGAACAACTTGAAAAAAATTTGTCTAAATTAGAACTCAATTATAACAGCTCGGCCTCATTAAATCAAGAAAATATATTTGCCGAGATTAATGACCGCCAATCTAGAAGTTGCAATGTTATCTTATTTAATCTACCTGAAACCGAGTCAAATGCGGACGACAAATTGTGTATTTCTAATATCTTTTGTCAAATTGATGTCACTGTTGTTCCTATTAATGTTCTACGTTTAGGTAAATCATCAAATAAAAATAGGCCTACCCGAGTTACTCTGCCTTGTCAATATGATGTTTTCGAAATTCTTAAAAATAAACGTAAGCTTAAAAACATAAATGATTTTAAAAATATTACTATATCAACGGATAGAACTTTGATTCAACGAAATCACTTTAAATCTGTAATCGATGAACTAAATGCAAGAAAAAACGCCGGTAAAAATGGTTTGTTTATTAAATATATTAATAATTTACCTGTTGTGTCAAAAAACTAATAAAACCCAATTTCAATTTTAATCTCTTATCTATATATTATCAGAATGTCCGTGGTCTAAATACTAAATTGGATGTTTTTTCTCGTAATATTGCTTTAGCAAATTATGACATTATTATACTAACGGAAACTTGGTTACGTCATGAGGTAAACGACTGCGAACTTGGTCTTCTTCCAAATTATTTCATTTTCCGTTGTGACAGATGCAGTGTTTTCAACAATGTTACCAGAGGAGGCGGTGTTTTAATTGCTGTTAAAAACAAATATCATTGCTGTCGTCTTACTATCTCAAATAATAATATTGAACAACTATTTGTAAAATTATCTTTTGAGTCTTCTGTACTTTTAATTGGCGCTATCTACATTCCACCTAATTCTAAGATAAATGTTTATAATGATCATACTGATACGGTAAATAGCATGTTAAGTAATTACAATAATGTTAAAATTATTATATTAGGTGATTTTAATTTACCAGCTATTAAATGGGCTTTACCTAATGATGTAGCTGTTCCTTATAAATATGGTAGCTTAGAATTGGACGCATTAGCTAATTTTTCTTACCTTAATCTAAAACAATTTAATACTATAAAAAATAATAAAAATTCTATTTTAGACTTAATTTTATCAAATGCGTTAAATGTTGAAGTGGATTGTGAACAGTATGCGCTGGTTCCTATTGATTATTTACATCACCCTGCTTTACTAATTAAATTTAAAATTAATTATAATATTAAACCTTTGAATTTTAATGAAACTACATATGATTATTTAAGCTGTGATTATAATATTATTAGATCTTCATTAGCTTCTATTAATTGGGATTGCATGTTTCATAATTTGCAAATTAATGATGCGGTTCATGTGTTTTATGATATCATTTTTGAGATTATAGATACTCACTGTACCAAAAAAACATTTTTTAATAATAAGTATCCTATATGGTTCAGCCCATTGTTGAAGGATTTAATCTATAAGAAAAAAATTGCCCACATGTTGTTCAAAACGACTACTTCGCAAATAAATTACAATAAATTTTCTTTATTGCGTGCTAAGTGCAAATCTCAATCCAAAATTGATTATAATATTTATATTTTTAACATGCAGAATTCTATTAAAACTAATCCTAAATTATTTTGGAAATTCTTTAACCATAAAAAAATGTGTTCGACGCTTCCGAACACTATGTTATATGAAAATGATTTATTTGTTGGAGGTAAGGATATTGCGGATTGCTTTGCTCATTACTTTTTCAGCGTCTATGAAAATCAAGTTTCTTCAACCCTAAAAACTCAACAACCATCCACTAATAATATTTCAATTGAAGTAAATCTCAACTCATGTACTTTAAGCATTACAGACATCCTAAATAAATTAGAAAATATCACAAATAAAACGAGTCCTGGTCCTGACATGATTTCAAACTGTTTCTTTATAAACTGTAAATTCGTTTTAGCTATTCCTCTATTACATTTATTTAACTTATCCCTCTCTTGTGGTTGTTTTCCATCTAATTGGAAAATTAGTTTTGTTAAGCCTATCAGTAAAGGAAGAGATTTAACTAATATAATTAACTATCGGCCGATTTCTATTATTTTTATTATTCCAAAACTATTTGAATCCATTATTTATGAAAAAATATATCCCATACTTACTTCGCTACTTAATGATGACCAACATGGTTTTTTGAAAGGCAAGTCAACAACGACAAATCTTTTAATTTTTCAAAAATACGTACTAGATGCTTTTGCTACCGGTTATCAAGTAGATGTAATTTTTACAGATTTTGCAAAGGCTTTTGACAAAATAAATCACAATATACTTTCAATTAAGCTTTATTCTATCGGCATTCGTGACCCATTTTTGTCTTGGTTGGTTTCCTACTTAACCGACAGAATACAAACTGTCAAATTAAAAAAATTTTCACTCTGATCCTTTCAATATTCCATCAGGCGTTCCTCAAGGATCTCACTTAGCCCCACTGTTATTCTTATTATTCATTAATGATTTACATCTTCCCAATTCTAAGAAATTACTCTTTGCCGATGATATGAAAATCTTTCGTTTAATTAAATCACATTCTGATTCAGCTCTTCTTCAAAATGATCTAAATACACTATCTGTTTGGTGTAATTTAAACAAATTACCATTAAATATTGATAAGTGCAAAGTAATGTCGTTTACTAGGTCTCGATCTCCAATTATTAATGATTATACCATAAATAATATTGTTCTACAACGCGTTTTTGAAATTTGCGATTTGGGGGTTACTTTTGACTCAACCTTTTCTTTCAATAAACATTATCTAAACATAACTAAAAAATCATCTACTATAATAGGTTTCATTAATAGAACTTATAAAGATTTTACTAATTCCGATGCCTTAAAAATTCTGTATTTTTCTCTAGTGCGTTCTTCTCTGGAATACAACTCCGTCGTATGGTCACCTTCTAGTGTGGTTCATACACAGAGCTTAGAAGCTATTCAAAATTATTTTCTTCGTTTTATCTCTTACAAATGCAATATACCACGTAAACCTCACTCACAATATACACCGTTATTAATCAAATTAAATATGACCACTCTAGCGGCAAGGAGAAAAATCATTGATTTGAAATTTCTATATAAAATAGTAAATGGTTTTTTAAATTGTCCCGAATTACTCAGCTGCTTAAATTTTAATGTTCCTCATTGTCGTACTAGATCTGCAAATACTTTTTATATTCCATTACAAAGAACTAATTACGCACTTTGTTCACCTATTAATAGATTAATGAAAATAACTAATGACGTCCAAATAGATCTATTTAGTTTTCCTTCTTTTGAATGTTTTTGTAACTTTATTGCGTATCTGTAAACTATTTCTGTCACTTATATTGTTATTGTCCTTATTATATTTTTATATTGTTTTATAGCTTTTAATATTATTATTTTTTATTTATACTATACATTTACTGTATTTCTTTTATTAGATTTAAGTCACAAATTGTTATTAAATTTTAAAAAATTGTAATTGGCTCTTACCCGTTTAAATTAATAAATAAATAAATAAATAAAATAACCCCCTCTTCCCCTCTTCCTTTTTTTTTTAAACGCTACATCTTTTATTTAAGTATATATATATTTAAAATACTTTTCAAAAAAATGATAAATATATTTTTTATTTGTTAAAGTACACAAATATATTTTTAAAAAATATTTTTATCATAAGAACCCAACATGATTATAAATACGGCGAATACATTTATAAGGTGAACATCAATAAAAACTTAATACAAAAATATTAAACAGATATTTTAGTTTAGTTATATTGATAATTTAATAACTTAAGTTAAAATTAAAAACAAATACAACACACAAGTCAATCATAATTTGTTAAAAAATTATACAAAACTAAAATACTTAAGTTAGTACACCCATAATGCTATATAAAATATTTAAAAATAATTAAAGCCAATATAATAGTCAATCACAAGCAGATATTTATAAAAAGAACATGGAATTATTAATATTCAAACAATAGCGAAAAAAAAATGATATGAAATTGTATGTTTATAATTAATATAACATTTTAAATATAAATCAACAATGAAATTAAATTTTTTGATTGTATGGCAAATTCTTAATGTATTCAGAGCTTTGAATATATAAAAATATATAATCCAATTATTTTTAAAAAATTATATAGTTAACAAAACAATATATTTTTATTTATTGTCAAAAATATTAATAAAAAATGGCAAATAATAATTTTGATATTAGAATTAATAATTTAATGCTATCATTTTAAAACTACAGAAAATCTAAGGTACAAACTAAGTAATTTACTCAATAACTACACACAATTTGAATATTTTGAATATAAACAAATAATAAAAAAAAAATATACATATTTAATTATCAAACACAAACATTTTACATTATTAATAATAAATCAAATAATAAATTTTTAACTATATAAAAAAAAAAATATATATATATATACGAAACAATAATAAGAATTATTACAAAAGTGTGTGATTTACTCATTTTGGAATGTAAAATTTTCCAATAAAAATAATTTATTTTCTACTAAAGCACCCTATGTTATGAAAATAACTGTATTTCAATTTTTTTTTCTTTAAGATTTTTAACATTTGAACATTAAAAATTATTATAAAGTAAATTTCATAATAAGATATGTGTAATTACTATGTATATTTATCAACAAAAATTACACAGCATATTTGTTATTATTACAAACATAATTTTATATAGATTTTTTTTTATACATTGTTATTATTAATTCAAGGCCATACTTTATTAAATAGATCCATAAAGGAATCATAAATCATGAAAGTTATACCTACATCCAAACACACTCTGCTCAGTCGAGGAACAGTTCCTTTGTAAAACCTAAAAAAAAAAAAATTAATTTTCAATAAATTATATCTTTATGCTTCTATTTTATTAAAATATTTCATAATGAAAAATAAATATTTACTTTAATTTTTCACTTGTGAAAATGAATACTTTAATTGAATATAAATAGTTTCTATTAATAACTTATCAAAATTAATTTCATTTTTTTTTTCTTATCCTTTTTTACAAAAAATATAAATATAAAAATTGTTTTTTTTTTGAATTTTTTTTTTTAAGCATTTATGAAATTGTTAAAATTTCTATAATCATATTAATTAACTTGTTAAATAAATAAAAATTATTTAAAATTATAATTTTAATATTATATATATTTACAACTTTTCTATGTCAAAAAAACAAAATATTAATTTTTTAAATACATGTATTTATTTAACATTAAAAAAAATAAAGAATCCAACATAGTTATTAATTAAATTAATTCTTACGCTGAAGGCCCTTCATTTTTCCATATTTTAACCATGCAGTCAAATGTGTTTTTATATTTTTTAGCTTCCAATCCTTGCATACGTGTCTTAACAACATCTAATGGTGTGTTTCCATAAACACTAGCAGCACCAGCGGCCATACCGAAAATTCCAACTAATAATTTAGGTACCGGTTTGTTGGGATCATCACCCTTATAGAGATTTTTTAATGCGCCCATTACATAAAATCGTATTGCTTGATTAGATCCTTGTTTTAATATAGTTGGCATTAACCCTTGATAAACACCACTAATGCCTATAAAATATAATTGTTTATTAACTTTTTTGATTATAAAAGTTAGAATAAATAATTGTTATTAATAAGAACATTTAATATAAACGTAAAAAACAAATATTCTATTTATTTATTAATCTTTTAGTTGTTGAAAAGCAGAAAAATGTAAATTCATTATAACAAATACTAAATATATATTTAAATATTTAAATTAATTTAACTTTAAGTTCTTTTATAAGTTAACATTCAATTTATAATGAGAAAGCCAATATTTAGCGTGTAACTTATCATATTGTATGAAATATAATGTATTATGAGTATTTTATCTTATTAATGGTATAAAAGTTATAGAAAATAATGTGAGTGTAAAACATTCAATCACTAGTTTGAAAATGAATGGAAGCTAAATTTATGGAGAATGGATTGAATAGGTATAATGAAGACATTTGCTTACTCTATTGTTTGTAATAATAAGGGTTCGAGACATGTTGCATTTTCATATTGTTAAATAATGATTGCAGAATGAAAACAGATTGAAATACTAAAATTGTAATTTCATATTTCACTGTTTTCTGAGCAAAACGCGTATTTGAAAAATTTTGGCTATTTAATTGTTGTTTATAGCATATTTACATAGTAAATTTATTTTAAACATTATTTATTTTTTAACTTCCATGCATCAGTCAATATACTTAATTATAGAACGAGTCGGGAAAGGGAAATATCTGTTTCTGCACATAACTCAGCTTATAAATAAAGATGAGATAACAACATTATTAACTGGATTTAGCAACTGGAGAAATACCTAATTATTCCTGCATATACTATCGGTTACAATTGTTAATTGTCATTAGAAAATGTAAAAGGAAAATAAGTATTCGGTTTAATTTTTTCATTGTAGGAGAAGATGAAGATTACAGTTATTTTAAGTGCATATTTGCATGCTTTTTCCAACAATTTGTGTGCATTAAATCTTAATAATCCTAAGAATCATAGTAATAATTTAAATATAAAATTAGATTGCATATTGTATTAAAAGTAACCTTGTTCTTTGATGATAATACTGGTACCATGGAAAAAACCTTTGAACCTAGGCTTTTCTAGTCGTTGATCATTAATAAATTTCACTTTCACGGTTTCCATTGGAGTGACTGCAAGTATGGCTTCAGAGACACCAGCACCAAGACCACACAATACTCTTTGAGTAGCTGTCAATTCTCCTTTGCCTCCTGTAACTTGAGTGCTTAAAGCTTCAAATGCTCCAAACCTGTTAATATTTGTATTATTAAAATCTATGATAATCATAATTTTTCTAAAAAAGTATACCTAACAGCGGATTTAGGAATAGATCCATAAAGCAATACACTAAGTCCACGATAAAGACCAAATACGCCATGGCCTTTTACAGTCTTCTTAATACAGTCCATTATACCATTATATTTTTTAGCACCAACTTTTTCATCAAGTTGCATTTGTGTTTTTACATATTCTGTAGGATAAGTAATACAAATTTCAATTCCACCAGTGATTCCACCTAGGTAACAAATGTAAAAATTATTTTACAGTATATAAATCAGATGTAAAAAGAGAATACATTTTTGATTTATTTAAAGCTAATACCATAACATGTAAATATAAAATATAATTGCAATTATTAAATTAATTCATAGAACCATTTCTTAAAAGTTTATATGAATATATAGCTCAAAAAATAAAAAATTATATAATTATTTACAATAAATCAGTATACTATGTAAAAATAATTTAATTGTGGAAAAATACCTATATTATGAACTTTAACTAAAATAGACTAATCATAAAAAAAATAGAGGCAATTGAAAGTTGATCATTTAATATATACTTATAATTTCACAAAGTACACTCTGATGAACTTCAGAAATAAAAATAAGTAAAAACAATTCAAAATGCAGAAACCTATAATCAAATTATTTTTGGACATAATAACAATATTTCAGTTAAATATTACTAATTCAATTTGTTTATAAGCCAATAAATAGGCTTGATTAAGTTTAAAAACCATGATAAAAATACATTACTATTATAAAAATGAAATAATAAATGTACCTTTTAAGGAAATTAAAACCCTGCAAAAAACTTTAAATCAAATATCTTTAGTTTTGAGGTGTAAATACTAATTAAATAATTAATGCTAGTAGTGAGAAAATAGTTTAAAAGATTTTATTGGTATTAAAATAATATTAAATTATTAAACTTGTGTACATATATATTATAATTACAATTCAGTTTTATAAAGATTTTCTTTTGACTGGTATATATTGTTAAAAATCAATGGTACTGGAGTATAAAAATTTGGGCACTGCTGATAAACACATGACACATGTCTTTTCATTAACTTCTTATTATTATAAAATAGTATACCCTGTCATTTAATATGGAGGTACATAATTGGTAAGATACTATACAATATGTTTTGTACTTGAAAAAGTATGAATTCAATATTACACAAAATAGGTAATTACCAAGTCAATATTAAATATGAGTTAATTATCTGTGTAAAATATAACTCAAGGTCAAAAAGTATATGATCCTAATGACCTTTGTGATGACTTAAAATACTCTTAATTAAAACATGAATCTTATCTAAAAAAAATTATTTTAAATGTTTAGGGCATATTAGCATAATCTATAAGTTATCAGTTTGTTAATAAAAAAAATGTAAAAGGCACCTATATAAAATTTGAAGTTCATAATAATAGAGAACCAAAATAAATATTCATAAATATAGATAACATAAGTAAATGTATAGAATAACAAACTAAACTAAAATAAATATGATATGAAATTATTAATCGTTATCATTTAATTTGTATTCTGCAATAATTGTAGGTATATCCTGTATTTTTTCACATACTGGTATTGTTATTTTCATCACTGAGATTAATATAATATAATTATAATATGTAAAATAAGTAAAATATAAGTATAATATAAGTAGTATAACATAATTGGATACAAATTAATTTTTTACTTTATTTATAATAAAAAATTTGATATTAAAATATAAAAAGTTGATAATATTGATTTGTAATCAGTTATAATACTGCGACAAAAAGTGTTAAAATATTCAAATTTTATAGTTTTCTTAATATAATTAAATTATATTTTTATTTTTCTAAAACTTACTATTTTGATAACAAAAATTTATATATTTTAATGTTATTATATATCAATGTTAAAGAATAAAAATAATTTATATGAAATAGAATTGGTTATTTAACTATCAAGATTCTATTAGATTTGGAAAGACAAACATGAATAACATTATAATAATAATAAATAAAGTTCTTACCAGAAGATTAAAATCACAATTGTACATGTAATAATTTGAACTAGGTATATCATTGATTTTATTTTATGTAGGACATTCATAAAGATACATATTTTATGTTTTTATGCACTATAATTTATTATAACATTAGATAGAAAGTTCATAATAATAAGACAAACATTAATGGTACACTTTAAAAAATATATAACACAAAAACTATAAATTTGAATATATTATATACATAAAAAGTAAGTGTTAGGATTACAATTATTAAATTAATGTACAATTTATTGATTAAGTTATTGAAAAACCAATACCTATTGATCAAATGATTTTTTAAATATGCTAATTTCTTTCAAAGTAATATAATATTCTAAGTAATTCAATAAATAATGAAAAACCTTAAATATAGATAACTCAACTTCTAAGACTATTTTTAAACAAGAAACATCATACATCAATAAAATGTATCTAAAAATTATACATGAATAAGGGAAAAATCTATTTTTGGCATGAAATTTAATTTAAAGTGAATCAATTTACTTAAAATGTTTAATAATCAGCATTTTAAAAATATACCTCCAATTATTACATTTTAATTTATTTTAAACTGTAAGTAATAGATAAATATAACATAAATGGTAATATTAATTGGTAATATTTAGGTAATATCTTACCGGCAACGATCCCTTTCATGCCTTTGTTGGATCCACCGGCCGGTGCAGCAGCACCGTACGTAATCATCCACGGTCGATAGAAAGGAGAAATAAATTTGTTTTTATTTTCCATTTTTATTAAAAAATATTTGATAAATAAAATATAAATAATAAAAATATTTATTTAAAAAAAAATGCAAATAATGGTTCTAGGAAAAAATAATACAGTTAAAAGAATTTAAAAATAAAAAATAAAATAAATATAAACCAGCAAAATAAAACTAAAACGACATAGCTACAACTGCAACTAATTTCTAACTGTACGGACATACGCAAGTAAGATATCGTAATACGTTCGTTGTGCTCACCAGTGACCTTATCGAAATGTGTTATCTCCATAGAAAATATAAATTGATAACAGACCGGTTGAACAGCTGGTTTCCAGCCGTGAAGGACATCCGAAAAACACGATGTGGTGTCAACTGTCGATGTCAACAGTAGGTACCTGGTACCCATTACGTAAAATCAGTATTACATGATTGCCATTAGTGCCGTATTTAGGGGGAGCTACAAGTTGCTGTTGCCCCAGGCAGTTGAATATGAGAGGGCGGCTAATTTTTTTATATTTTCAATATTTAATGATCTAATATTTTTGAAGTGAAACTTCTTAACAAAATAAAAAGTGTATCTCAAAAAAAAAATAAATATATCACCAATCACGGCGTCACGACACACACACACACACATACTCGGTAACGGTCGAATACTATCGATAGATCCAAAGTTTGACAAACAATCTATCCTTATGTTGGCATTGCACTTAGAATGTTTTTGTGTACACCGGTAATGAAATCTTCTTCAGAAAGATCTTTTTCAACCTGCAAAAATTTGTATTTGGTATAATGAGGCGTTTTTCATGGTTGCCTCCTGGTGTCAAATTCCTTAATACGGCCCTGATTGCTTAAAAAACAATGAATGACATAAATGCAGTTTAGCTCCCAGTATATTTTTAGCGATTTATTTTTTTTAATTTGTGTGTTTTTGTATGTATAATAAAATGGTTCATTCATAAAAAGTCGAAAATCGAATTTCTTTTAAAAGTTATGGTTAAAAAAATTCATTCATAACGCTTTAAAATGATTAAATATTTTTATTAAAAACGAAAGTTTTTTATGCTTGACATTTTGATAAAATCAAAAATTCTCCATTCTTCTTACTTTTTATGGTATAAACCTATCTTATTACATCTTGAAAGGTTTTTCGTAGCAAATCGAGGGTTGTGCTTAACAAGTAGCGGCTCGTGGTAAATATTCTAGGGAGACTTAAGTTATTTAACAAAAACTCCATACAACAAACGAACAAGAAAAACACTTTTATTTGAAAATTAATTATACTTAATACTTAATTTGATTGTATAAACTAATTCAATTCTCCATTTTTTTTTATCTGTGGTGTACAGCGACTAACAACGGTGCTATGGCACGAAAATTATTGTCGTGAACCCGTTTCAATAGCATCTATAAGACGTGGATTATTCTTCCCGGCCCTGTTCATCCAACAAGTCAAACCATTACATGTTACAATTGAACCTGTTGGACGTCAGTTTTACTGAAACGGTGACCGTCGTTGAAATAACTAAAATAGTGTTTCCATTAAAATATCTATTTATAGGTTTTATATTTTGTGGCCTTAAATTTATAATAATAAATGTAAAAAATGCTACAAAATATTTTCAATAAAAATAAAAATATTTTTTACATTTTTAAATAGTATAATATAGGAGTGCGCAGATTCCTGTTTCCGGTGTGGCTTTTATTTTTTTTTGATCACTCACCCCCTTATAAAACTCCGCCTTAAAAAAATAGATATACAAAACATAAGTAAGTAAAAATTAAATTTATTAGAAAAACTGATGTACAATCTGATTATCAATGAACGCCAGTCCCGGCAATTTAAATGTTTTGTAATTGGATAAAATTGATAAAAAAAATTTCGATTTTCAAAAAAAAAGTTTTATTAGTCCTCTTTACCTAAGTACTTAGTACTTACCTACCTAAAAAAAGTCTCAGATGTGGCTATAGCCCTATAAGTCACACACGTGCGCATGCTTATGATTTACAAGTAGCTGTTTTTTTAAGGGGTGACGCAGTCTTAAAGTCTCCCCTGATGAGCAATCCCTTTTTTTGACCACAACTTCAAAGAGAAATTTGTCTGACTTTTTTTAAAAGTACCACCTGATTACATATATGCAAAAACAGACAATATGGAGAAAAAAATTGCATTTGTTCCCAATGAATTATAAAATATACCAATTGAAGCGTCCGGTGCAAAAACCGACTATCTTCACTTTTTGAAATTGTTCAGGACAAACAAATAACCAAATTATTTGATTTCTAATAGGGGTATAAGTATTGTAAAAATATATTTGAATTCTCTAAATGAAGAGCTACCTATGCAAGTATACATATTTACATTTAAGATTATTTTAATTACATCATTTAATTCATAAAAATAAAGAAACATACCTAGATACCTGGTTATTACAGTGAATTATTTTTTTCCATATTTTGACTTACCGTCAATTTGCGGTTAAAATATAATCACAAATAATACAAAACTGTGCAACATTAAAACTATATATTATAAACTATGTTTTAAAAGTATTATAGGGAAAAAACAACTTCTTGGTTTATAATAATAAATTAACTAAAAATTACGGAGTTGCCCGGTTATAGCACCGAAACTTTTTACTTTAATTTTTTTTTTTTTTTGTTTTTCTCTAATATTTTCAAACATAATAGGAATTTTAATGTTTGACCACTTCAAACTACAAACTAAATTCACATTTATATCAGAAAATTTACTGATATTGAAAATTGAAGCATTTATATTGCTAAAAAAGACACCTTGTAAAATCAATTGATTAACTGTTTCAAAATCACTGTCTAGTTTTAAATCGGGGTCGGCGAAAGAATCTTCTAAATCGGAAAAAGAAACATCATCGCAGTCTACGAGAATATTAAGTAGTCAAGTTAAGCATTCTACAGTATAAATTAATATTTTTATAATATTATAAAAAAAATGTACAATTAAATGTTTGTAATCAATTTGCATAAAATTCATTTTTGTAATACAAATTTTTTTTTTTTTTATTTAAGTATAAAATAATAAAAAGGTAATAAAAGTTTTCATTGCATAACTATATTATATTCTGAAAAAGTAAAATAAGTATTTGGTGTATGATGTAACATCAATTTCAATCATTTAATTTGTAACTGCAGAATATATAGTGAAATATAAATATTAAAATACTGTAATATGAAACAAAGCGTGTAATGCACCGAACATGACGCCGAGTTAAAAACCTGTATACCCGGACCACATTCGGCGATTACGACAGCGACCAAAATAAAATATGAATTTATTAATGCTGTTGATTCTTATCGCCATCTACCAAGAGTTTAATTGTAGACAACCGAAAAACCGCCCAGTGAGCTATCTTTGGTATTTATAATCAATGAACAGTCAGGAGCGTACCCAGGAATTTTTTTATGGGGAGGGATCCAAAATTTTTATTTTATCTGATAATGGAAAATTAAAATACACTAAATACTGATATTATACTATTTATCATTAAATCGTTGAGTATATAGAAATTTCAATGGGGGGGGGGGGATCCAGACTCGAAAACCCACCCTTGGGTACACCTTTGAACAGAATAATGCAATAATACCAAAAAAACAAGCATATATACTCAATATAAGCTTCTATTATATAAAAGCTATTGCTAATTAATACTGAATTTGAATTCCTAATTTTTAAAAGGAACTTAATAATTTTCTCCAATCCTCCATATAGATACAAAAAATAAAACTTGTTTCACTTTTTTAATTAACAATATTTCACATACGACTGTTCACAAATTTTAAAAAACTTACTAGCCTTACTGAAACTTAGAATAGATACATCGTTAATTTTTTATTTACTTTTTTTTTATCCAACAATAACAAAAATACTAACGAAAAAAATATCTGGAGCTTATTTCATTTGTTGTATAATCTAAGAGTTTATTTTTTTTTGATTTCTTGTGTAATTACTGACAATATTTTATTTTTAAACAAGTATGTAATAAAAACATTGTTATAACCCGGTAATTATTGTTAACAATATCATTATTGTTTTAGAAAAATTAATATAGCATCCATGTTTTATTTCTAGTACCTATGTACTATCATTGATTATAGCTAGTATAGATAGCTCACTGGATGGTTTTTCGATGGCGTAGAATATAACTGCCGGTAGATAGCGATAAAAGAAATAAATTTATTTAAATTGATATTTATAAAATAATCCCGTATAGCTTCGTATCGAACCAATGTTGGTGTGCGTCGGGTGGGAGAAACAGATAATTTTCTGTTACTTATTAGATAAGAATATCATATCCGATGCGCGACGGGCGAAGACAAATAGGCCTAGCTGTTTCCGTACTATCGCATCATAATCATTGTTTATTATATATTTTGTATTATAATTTATTTATTTAATAGAAATAAGTAATTATAGTATTTATAAAGTATATGCTCGGTACTTACCTCAGTCTTATTGTAATACTTATTATTCTTTGTTATATTTAATTTAATTGATTACTGATAATTACAATTTTTAAAGTGAATTTTTTTTTTTTTATTATTGTATTCTAAAATATCTTATTAGTCAGTTTAAGAACGTATTTTTTCGTAAACTTGAATTTCATATAATTTTACACTTGGTGTACATAAGTAAATGTGATCTAAATAAAAACAAATTAAGCATGACTTCAATTAACTTATTGTTATACAAAAATTATTGATTTACAATTTTTAAAATATTTTAGAAAATAATTATTATATATATTAATTATATTAATTAATATATATTTACGATATTTATTGGCATCTAAATTATGTAATTGAAGTCCGGGAAAAAAGAAAGTTTTTTACCCCCAAATTTTACACCCACGATGAATACTTGTGTGAAATATGCACCTATAACATCTGTGGACGTTGAACGGTCGTTTAGTACTTACAAAATTATATTAACTGAAAAAAGAACCAACATGACCCCACAAAATATGGAAATGTATTTTGTAATTAATTGTTATGTAAACAAAAAATAATAGTTTTTTTATATTTAAATATTTTTTTGATTGAATTTGATGTTGAAAGGTTCAACATTTCTATTTTATTATTTGTTTAAACTGTTTTATAAACATATAATGATATTTTTTTTATATATTTAAATATTTTGTTGATTTAATTTGATGTTAAAAGGTCCAACACTCCTAATTTTGTTATATTTGTTATGTTATAAATTTATTAAGTTTGTAGTTGATAAAGTAATATAAATTTATAATGCATATTTGAGCATATTTTTCATTTATTTGTGTATATTAATGCATATTTTGACCCTTTTTTCTTTGCATATTTGCATCATATTTGCCACATTTTTAGTGCATATAATTCCGGTCTCTATTTATAATCAATGACATTACATACAATAATTGTGTATCCCATTACAATACGTGTGTACAAATTTAACGCCACCGCCACCGCGGCAGTGTGTGGGGACCTTAAATCTTGTACACAATGTACAAAGATAAAAACCAGTTTACAATAATCAAATACAGATCTAGTGAGTTTCTTTTAAAAATAAACGACTGAAGATTATTAATTTCCCACATTGCGCCGTCGCTAATCAACGCGACTACAACGATTATAACGATGCCGACCACAACTAACTTGCGCCCGCAGCGCCACATAACGTTACCGACCAAATAGTACGCCACCGAAAAATCATCCAGTGAGCTATCTATACTATCTATAATCAATGGTACTATGGTTGTTATTATTATTATTTTTTTTTTAGTTATTGATAGAACTATAACTATTTTAAGGCATTATATATAGATTACTTAATTTACATTATATAACATAAACATTTTTTTTTAAACCGGTTCTGATAGGCTATGTTATCTACAACACAGTCCGGCCCAGAGACCACCGGAAAGTAGGTCGAATTCACTGTGATAATCAAAATGCCCACAATGTAAAGTGACTTATTGATAAATAAAATTAAAACAATAATAGTTTACGGTCGGTGTCGAACCAAGTTATATTAATAATAAAACATAAAAAAGATATAATAAATTGTGTATATATATGTATATAAAAAAATCAGGTGCAAAACCTCGTTCTCTCGTTAGCCACGATGATAGTGATGCTCCCGCTACTGGACACGACCGCAACGTCGACAGGCAGCCACAACACGGTTGACAACGAAACACGTGACGACGAAAACACCGTCGACCACACCGCTAACGAAATCAACGCACAGCGGTAGACGAAATAATACGCCCGGCGGTAGTGTTTGAAAATTTCATGAAATTTAAAAAAATGAAATATTTCATGAAATATTTCAATGAAATATTTCAAATGTCTGAAATATTTCAGTATTTTAATACATTTTGTTTTTTTTTTTTTAAATAAGTTTTATTTTTATGTATGTAATTGTCATAATTTACTTTTATAATTTTATACTACTGAAACCAATCACTAATTACCATTACCTACTCATTAGTGATGGTTTTTTTTGGTATTATACATTCAAAATAGTATTCAACATTTTTAAATTGATAAAAAAACGTACTATGTCGATAAATGTTCGTACACTAATAATTATTATAAAAATTAAAAGATTATATAATAAATATTAAATGTCTATAGGTACACTATTGTCGTCAAACGTCTATTCACCATAATAATAATAATTTTATGATAATAAACCATGCGTATTTTTCTAGTTAGAAACTATATATAAGTTATAAGTTTATAACGTTATTATGATTGCGATAATAAATTATTGACTGTCAACTGTGTAATAAATATTATACTTATATAATATATTTAGTCACAATTCACAATAATAGAACCATCCTTGCATCGTCGTCGACGATAAGCCATTCCAGGGGAAAAAAACCAATTTTTGCTATAAACAGCCGAAAACAAGACCCTAATATAGTATAAATAGTATATTATAGATTTATAGTATATTTCACGTGAAATATTTCATACTTCAAACACTACCCGACGGTGATACGCACGACGGCAAAGGAGAAGTCACACGCCCGGCGGTAACACGCACGACGGCAAAAGAAAAGTCACACGCCCGGCGGTAATACGACCGAAAGTTCGCGAACATTCCATAATCGGCACGCTATCGGGGGGGAACCGGTTGTCGTGGCCAGACACAAACACAATAGCTTGTTCGAACAGGCTATTTCATATAGAGTGGGATTTAGGATTTGTAGGCCCCTAGGTTTAACTGTAGTGTGAGCCCTACTAGAGGGTTTTTAAAAAATAGGAAGGGATATGCACAAATAGAGAAATTAAGCCCCCTCTAAAATATAAATTTTGTATATTTCCCAAAATTTAAGGGGTTGGTCCCTCCCTCAAATTTGTTATGTTTTTACTATAAAAATTGTAAAAGAGTAAATTGACCTTTGCCTCTCCTCCCAATATCAAACACTATTTGCATCTACGAGAAAGATCTCAGAACTATAACTATTCCTTAAAAATAACCGTTTAAACTTCTTCTAAAATATTTTCTCACAATTTTCATCCCAAAATCGAATGTAATGCAACTTTCTAACTTCTAGTTTTTTGCTTGAAAAAAAATAACATTTAAGAATACTATTAAAGTGTAGATTAACATATAATATATAAAATAGCTTAATAAATAATAATAACTAGGTTTACAGGTTTAAACTTTGGTTAATTACATCTTAACTTTGCATTGAAAATACTTATTATATCATCATAATTTATTTGTCTTAAAATGTCACTTTCAGGCTAAGTAAAGCTAACATGTTGAGACTTTCTTCTGTCATTGATGTTCGGAGTCAGTTTTTAATCAACTTTTAAAAAAAAATTATTATTGTATTATTAGATAGAGCTTTTTTTTTTAGTTATATGATGTGTGATGAGGGTCCTGTTGTGGTAAGGGCCCATAGGGTGCAGCCTATATAGCCAGCGTTATAAGTCCAACCATATACCTACCTATTATTACAATTTGATGTGTGCGTTAATCACCAAAAACATATGTCAATTTTTATAATTTTTAGTGTGAATTTTATACATTTTTGTAGGTAGTAGCAGTCAAATTTGTGGGTTTTATTTATTTACTATAATAATTATATAATATTCGTTTTAATAAAATAACAATTGCTGCCAAGTTAATGTATACCGAGTCTACCGCACGTTTGTGACTCGTCCATCTTGTCTCTGAAAGTTGTTTTAGTGTTAGTACTAAACCATCAATTTTCTTTTGTTCTTTATCAAATATTTTTAGTCTTGGTAAATTATTAGTTATAAATGTATACAATGCCTCACATGGGCGTAGCTAAAATTTTAATCAGGGAGGGGCAAAAACATGAAATGATTAGTGTTAAACTCGTAATTCAAATAATCTACATATAGACCATTGGATAACACATAAAACGTCAAAACGATTACACGTGTAGATATCACTCGGTCCCACTAAACTATTTTTAGAATTATATCTTATTTAATTTTTGATTTTAATGTAAAACTTATACGTTTGATATAAACAAATATAATTCAGTTTGAGGCGCAGGGGTGGGCAAGTGCCCCCTGCACCACCCTCGCTACACCCATGATGCCTCAAGAATACCAAAAAAATAAAACTACATTGATAGACGATCTAATGGAATATATAAACACCAGATTTAAATTATAAGCACAACAATGAATACTACATAGTGCTAATGATGATATATCTTTTATTTTAGATTGTAGATTATTAGAGGATATTATAATAAGATAATTTTTATCTTATATTATATTGTCTCAATTACAGTAAACGTTTTATAAAATTCAGACGCACAAATTATAGACAAACTCAGACCAATGAACAATTTGAATCTAACCTATCCAGCAACATTGCTAATGACTTATAGTTGTATTGTGAATGTCATTAATCGTTATTGCAATACTGTCCCACTGCGGTCTACGATAATATGCGTATAATAATAGGTAATAATAACTGTAGATCACCAACTACATCTTGAATAATACGGTAGATCACGAATGCCAATTTTTCCAATATCTATTGTCAATAATTGTAAAATATTTTGATTGTTTTACTTCATTTAATACTGTATGTATCTGCCACACATTTAAGCATATTATTTTTAATTTTTGAAATCAAGTATGTCTCATTTCAGTTTGATTCAGTCAAGTATTTAGACATATTTTGGCACAAGTTTAACTATTTCTATAAAAACTCCTTTATTTGGTTTTTCCTGATTAATGTCTTCTCTGTGTTCTCGAAATGGAAGACCATTTGTTGAAAGGAATAAAAATAAATCAATTAATCGTTTTAACACACTTCGATTAAATTCTATTTGAGATTTTTGAAATTTGATTAATTATGTTTTGTTGAATAATCATGTCTTTTGAAATTCTTCCTTTTAAAATTAAATATTCATTTTCTGTTTTTTCTATGGTCCTTGGATTTTTCATTTTTAATAATTTTTTCATATCCTTTATGGAAATTAGAAACACTTTTATTAGGATTAGATCATTGATAACTATGTTAATATTGAAAAAAAAACAAGGAAAATAAAACATTTTGTTAGCTTTTGGGGAATATACTAACCAATTTCTTTTACAGCTTATTCCTGATTTAACTTCTTTGTTATACCAGTTGGAAAAACATTTTTTGCTGGGCTCATTTTCTTGATAAACATAATCATAATTATTAAAACCTGGTTGACAAGGCCCTATTTCAACAAGAGTTCTGATTATTTGTGGTGTTAATATAGTATCAATAAATAAATATGGATCTAATTATGATAATCATGGCATCTATCAATTAACTTTGAGTATAAAACATAATCTTGGGCAAGTTCAATTTTGTTGTTAGTTTGAGAAGAACAACAATTATCCATTTGTAGTATATTATCAGTAGGTATCAAATTCGCTTGTTTTTTTAATCTTCTGGCATGTTAGATGTTTGAATTAATAATTTTTCTTCCTCAAAAGAAACTGAGGGTAAAATATCATGTTCTGTCATGTTTAGAAACAAAGTGTGAAAATATATATTTATATTTTTTTAAAATTTTTTGTAGGTGTCTCTAATACACTAATGCACTTTTATTTTAATTAGTTTAAATTTGTATCAATAGATAGGTAATTTCTTTTTTTGAAATTAAAATACTTACCAAGAGAAGGTAAAGTGGGTTTATTATCTTCCTCTTCACTGCAATTATATTCCAAAGACCATTTTTGACTGATGTTTGATTTTAGGAATGACAGTACCTACAATTTGATTGCCTTTTCTTTTTCTTTAATTTATCATTTTGTTCCACAAGATATCTATGTATATCTTAAATCGTGGTCAACACCAGGAGTGTTGCAATGTATGAATATTAAACATCTAACGTTTAGATAAAAGTCCTTATTCATAACACCTATAGTATGGATAGCAGACTTAGGAGATTTTTTATCGAGTACCGATTTCCATTTTTCATCCATACCTTCAATTCTAATTCAAAAATGTTATAATTCGGTAAAAAAGTTTTTGTAAAAATCAATGGATTTTTAAAGTCATTGCTATTTGAATTTAATTTAATTAGAAAACTCAGAAGCAAGTTTTTTAAACCAAAAATAATGTAATTATGTTTTATAAATCTTTTAGTTAGGCAATTGAATTTTGTAGTCTAAAAATGACAAAAAATTACTTAAAATAAACTTTAGTTGTACAATTATACATTAAATTTTTAATCTTAGTAAAGTCTTTGAAATATCATAAATAGGTATATATATATATATTTACTTTAAAAATGTCATGGGTAAGGAAGGGTTGAATTTCCTTGTATATGCGCTTGGCAAATATATTATTTGTAAATGTATGTAGAGAAACAGTGCATAGTTATCATTGTAGACGGAAAAAATAATAAATATGATTCTCTAAAATAGATGGATTGTCTGATGTTCAGAGTAGATAATTTTTTCATGCTCATGAGTCGTGGCGTAATATGAGCGTTTACGAAAACTTGCATGATCAATATTGGTTATAACTATATAAGTATATACAATATTTAAAATACATGGTAGTAATCTAAGCAAAATTATTTATTATGAAATATTAAAAATATAATATTATCCGTATATACAAAATTACTTGTCCTCAGTGATTTATCATTGTCTAGCTGGAACCGTTGAAGCAGAGTTTGAAACTTAGTAAGTTATAATATATATGTATGTATTAATTTGAGTATAAACTATTTAAAAGTTTATGATTTTAAATTAATTTTTTATATTTTACTGTTAATTTTTCGTCTAAGAGAGTGTTATAATGGTCATTTTATATTGACATAAAAATTAGGTTTATAGCCTAATCCCCAAATTAAGGTACTAATTTTGCTATGAAACTTAAAACCGCAAGAAAAACCTAAGAACTTGTGGGTACTGAAGAATAGTTATTATTATAAGAGAAATTATTTCGTTTAATATAGGTAAGTTAGGTATATGAGACAGGTATCAAACAACTAACGAGTAATGAACATAACAAATAGAAATATTTTTCCTCTGAGTAAAATTCTAAAATCCATGATGGGCAGGTCAGAATTGTTGATTGAAGAATCGTAATGTTGTTAACGACTGATATACATCAACCGTGATAACAATAGACGAATGATCTCATTGCAGCAATGATAATAGTGAACAGCTGTTCTGGTCCAAGCTTGCCGACCAGTCATACGCGAATGACGTACGGATTCAGGACTGCTCATATTTTTTTATGTTGCCTTGTTCACAGGGAAATCGAGAACAATCTAGAATAGTACTCCATATAAAATTACCAGTCCCAACTGTGAGATGAAACGGACGGATACGTATGATTGATAATTGTTCGGAAATGTAGATGTCGTATTCCGTTACAGTGACGACATACAAAATTGTCAATAGCACAACGAAGAATCGCATTTTATTATAACGACGACGGTAATATGATTATTTGATTCGATAAACCAAAAGTGTTCGACTGGTTACTGGTTAGTCTGAAAAACTGTTTTCTCTCCATCTGACCCCCCTCTCCCGCTGCTCTGCCAGAACAAGCAGTTATCGTCGCCGCCGTTCGTAGTTCGTACGGCGTAATCTTTTATTTATTTGCGTTGTGTTTTTGTTCTCTCCGCTCTCCAGTGTTGTGGACTGTGTTACTACTAATACGACTGCGTGTTACTGTATTAGTGTGCGTATCCAAATGTATGTCTGTGCGTGCGCCAACGTATCTATCTCGTTTTAGCTTGACTTCATATTTCTGATTCCAACCAATTCCTACTCTCGGTTATACGGAGAATACACTAAGCTTTTTAGTTATCTTTGTGCTGTGACGAAAATAGTTAACACCTAAACAGATACAAAGACTTCAGACTGTGATTGTCATCCCTGGTAACGCAGTCGTCATTTCGACGATGTCATCGTAACATGTCAGGTTTAGTGATTGACCTTTGCTCCAGAGCGGTTGATAAATTTTAAGGTAATATTTCAGTCACGCGTCGTCAACCTGCGGATCTCGCTTGACATGGGGTTGTCTTGCGTTTTGTCTTATTTCTTTTTTACATGCATTCATTTATTTTGTTCTGTAAATACTTTCAGATAGTGAAATTCCTAGGTTAGATTAAGTATTTTGTACCTTGTTAACATTATTTAGATTGAGAGGTTTCAGCATCAAATGTACAATTGAATCGTGCCGTCAATTTAAATTTATAAATTTTAGGCACTATTATGTTGCTTATAATTTCCCAAAGCAATTTGGTTTCATTGTTCTCCGCCAATCCTTATATTTTAACTTGTTACTATCGTTAATATAATATATATTATTATTGTTGAAATTATTTACAATGTTCTGTGGGTTTTTCTTTTGCTCTCTATATTTGTAGATTGGAATGATGTGGATCATCTATTGAATTTTATAAAATAAAATGTTTCTTTCATTGTTTTTATAATGGATCTTTTAGTTAATTTTTTCTGTTTTATCAATTTGGTCATAAGATTATATTCTCAAAAAATATTCTTTGTAATAATTTTTTGAAATCAATGATAAGCCATCCTTAAAAAACTAAATTGACAATTTTAAAATTTATTATTAAAACTCTGAAGTTATATCTACCTATTTATTATTTTATTGACAGTTATATTTTATTTTAACTTTTCATAAATTTTGTTCAAATATTTTAGATTTATATTACTTGTATAGCTCATAGGTGCTGTTGATAGAATTGTTTTGGTAATGTAGTTGTATATCTTTATTATTATAAGTAGGTACTATATGTATATAATTATTATAAATTAAAGGAAGTATTATATAAATATAATTATATATTTATATATATATACATATTTATAAATTTAAAAATTGATAGTATACTTCTTGAATATTAAATATGCATATAAAGAAACCAAAATAAAGAATAAATGTAAAATCTTCCAACACTTATTTTAATTGCAAGAAAGTACCGATATATTTACATTTAAATTGATGTTATTAATTTAGTTGTACAATCTACTTTTAAATAGACTTGGAGCTCCTAAGTTCTAAATTTAACTATTTTTTTGCTATGTTGATGAATACCAGTTAATTTTAACAATTTTATTAAAAAAAATCTTTAGATACTACTCTTCTATCTATTTTATACAGTTAGAATTAATTATTAGAAGTTTAATATTATTATTATTATTATTAGGCCTGTAAGTCTGTCTATAATGTATTTTTCTTTATTCATTAAAATCAACATTTAATTACAAATTAAAAATATTTAAATTAAGTTATTGATGTATAAACAGTCACGTAAAAATATTTAATATATATATTTTCAAATTTATAACTTAAAAAGCAACAATAAACTTATGAACATTTATCATATTTGATCATTTGCTTAGAAATTTTTCTTTTTTTATATAGATATTAAAAAAAAATAGATTATTTTTCATAAACTATGTATTTATTATACTTAGTATTATAATTTTTACATTTATTTTTTGAAAATTGAGACAATACCAATATTTTAAAAATTTAATTTTTTTGTGTCAAATTTTTTATGTAGGTACTACTCAATTGTTTATAATTATGTATTCAGTATAAATCAAATAATTTAATTGATTTAAACTTTTTTTTTTTTTAAAGAACTTTGTAGTTACATTTATTCATATTAATTAATTAAAAGATTTTTTTTTTTTAGTAATTAGTGCTTATATAAAACTAGAACATTATAAAACTATGTTAAATTGGATACTGCAAGAAAAATATTAAAAATTGTATGCAGTATTAAATAATTTATAAGTGGTAGTAAAATAGATAAGTATCTAATTTTTGCTTCTTACAACTATATTATTTTTTAAATTAAAATGTCTGTTTATATTTTATTTATTTATTTATTTTAATATTGACACCCCAAAGAATAAAAGTGCAGATATTATTCAATATTACGTTTATAACAATTTATATATATATCAACTATAAAAACATATTTTACTTAAAATTATTAAAAATATTAGTTTTTAATTCAAAACAAGTGTTGAAAAAAAATCATAATTTAATATAATAATAAAATTATAATATTACTTGATATTGGATGCCAGTAATCTAGACTGTAATAATTTTTTATAGTTAATTGGATAAGAAAGGGTAATTGTCCTACAATTAAATTAAGTAACTTTATAGTTAATTTTATGCAAAAATTCAGGACAAACTCTATTAATGATTTTGTGTAAAAAGGTTGTTTCATATAATAGTCATCTAGTCTCTAGAGTTTTTATTTCTGGCTTATTAGCCTATTCCACATTATGATTAAGCCAACCTGATTTAAACATATAAAAACCAAGAAAATTTTTGCATCTATGTATGTTTGTTTATAAATTGTATTGCTACTAATAAAAAAAATGTCTGAAATCTTTACTATATGACTATGAGCAACCCATTAGACAGTACATTTTACATTTTTTGACAAATAAAAATTGTACCTTTTTTTTAGTAAATTTATTATTTAATAGAACTAGTATAGCTAATAATTAGCATGTACAAAGTAAAAATATTGTTTAAATTGGTTATATATTTTATGGTATTATTTGAAATATTTTTAAAATCGTATACTTCCGCTTAAAAAAATTTTTAACTCATTGTTATCTTACTAGTAAAATTCAATTTGAAACACAATAAAATAACATAGATATATTTTTATTAACCGACTTTTTTTTATTGATTATTAAACATTAAGAACAAGGTATGCTATTGTTATGTAAACATAAGTTACCGATTGTCTTAATTTAAAAGTCTATTATAACGTACATTTTTATATTTATTATTATATTTTTTGCTTATTATTTTTTTTTTCCCTTTAGTTTATTATTTAATTTTTAATAATTTAATTTATGAGTACTGTTACTAAATAGATAATATATCTTATTTATTATCATAAGTTTTCCTATAGGTTTATAATTTTCTTCTTCTCTTTTGCCTTTCTCTCAACTATCAACTATTTGGAGTTGGCCACCTTTACGCACACACCAATAGCCCTTGTATCCAACTATCTTTTTTGGTCTTCCTTTTCTCTTTTTTCTTCAACTTTCATTTTCTAACATAATATATTATATATTTATTAAAATAGTATAAAAATGCAAGATAAAAAAAAGTTATAATATTTACAATTATTTTATTAAGTTACAACTGTAAGGTTTATTTTATTAATTTAAAGTTATTTAATTTGGATAATATAGGCAATTGATTTATTCACAATGAAGAATAATGTAATTGAAATAAGTATGCTAAATAATAAATAATGGTTTTGATTAATTATTGAATAAATATAACATAAAAGTCAAGTTCTTGTGTGTATTATCATTATATTGATTTTATCATATAGGTTTATTTGTATCTGATACTACTGTGTTAAGTTTTTAAAAATGAAACCATTTTTATCGTTTCTATTTCTACTACTTTAGTTGAACATCTTTTTTCAAATTTTGTAATAACAATAAAAAGTTAGAGTGCGTAATGATTTTTATAAAATTAAAAGAAGAAAATAATGTTAATAAGTGTTACGTAGTTACTTTTTGATTACTTGCCATGACCTTGATATAAATGTACATACATTTACTATGAACTAAATGCTGTGCCAAATTGTTGAATATTAAATTGTGCATTGTTTTTATTTTTATATGAACATTTTTTTTAGTTCTAACTTTATTTATTTTTTTGTTCTAGAGTACACATTGTACATATTCTTGAAAGATGGCTGATGTTGATCCAGAAACACTTCTGGAATGGCTTAATACAGGCCAGGGGGATGAAAGGGATATGCAACTCATAGCACTGGAACAGTTATGCATGTTATTATTAATGTCTGATAATGTTGATCGATGTTTTGAAGTGTAAGTTATTATTTTATAGTTTTTTGTAGCATTTTATTTATAATCAATTTTTATTTTTTCATTAGATGCCCACCTCGCTCATTTTTACCCGCTCTTTGTCGTATATTTTTGGATGAAAGTGCTCCAGACAGTGTACTTGAAGTGACTGCTCGAGCAATTACTTATTACTTAGATGTTTCTGCTGAATGTACTAGACGTATAGTTGCAATTGATGGTGCATTAAAAGCAATTTGCAATCGATTAGTAATTTCAGATATATTTTCACGCACTAATAAAGATTTAGCTGAACAATGTTGCAAAGTATGTTAAATTTTAACATTATTAGAAAAAAAATAATACCTATATTTTAAATAATTTAGGTTTTGGAATTAATATGTACTCGAGAAGCTGGTGCTGTTTTTGAAGCTGGTGGTTTAAGCTCTGTGTTATTGTTCATTAGTGATGTTGGATCTTGTGTACACAAAGATACATTACATTCAGCCATGACTGTGGTTTCTAGATTATGTACTAAAATGGAGCCAAATGAAGCTTCACTGCCTACTTGTGTTGAGTCTTTATCTACAATGCTTAAACATGATGATACACATGTTTCTGATGGAGCTTTAAGATGTTTCGCCTCATTATCTGATAGATTTACACGGCGTGGAATTGACCCTGCACCGTTAGCACAACATGGACTTTTAAATGAATTGCTACTTAGATTATCTTCAGCAGCAGGACCTACAGTAACAAATATTGGAACACCGGGTATGTAATTTTAAACAAAATAATACATATATGTATTAGGATGGTCCTTCACCATAGATGATAAAAAAAAATATCAACAATATTTTCATTTTACCCCTTAAAACAATATATTTACATATAAGAAAGAATTACATAAAATATTGGATTAATAGGACAAAGTTACTCTGTTTATATTTTAACTTAAAGTTCAAACTCTTAAAAAACTGAAAATGTTTTAAAATGTTTGTATTTATTTCATAAAACTTTGACCATTATATAAATATAATACTATTTTAGTGTTGTCTATTTGCTATCAGGATACTTGTTTTGTAATCTTTAACAATTTGCAATTTTTAATTGAGATTTTTTCTGTTATTCGTCTATGGTTTAAATGTTGTTATATTCTTTATTAAACTTCACTCCTTCTTTGTATGCAATGTCATTTATCTGTTCTTCCAGTTTATCAAGTATAAAACTTGTATCAATACTAAGTCGTTCAAAAACTATTTTTTTTATTTTTCTTTAGGAAATTATTTAAATCCTTTTTAAGTTAAGATGATACTTCATATGGTTTAGTTGAAAGTATTTTTACTTATTTCATCTAAACCATCATTTGAATTTAAGTTTTAATCATCTCTTTTTTTTTTTTTTAAATTGATCATTATATTATTATTGAGAGATTAAAATCCTATTGCTTCATCTCACAAATACCACTAATGGCTACAATATTTTTTCAAAACTATTTTAGAGAAGTCAAAATCATTATATTTAAATACATCTTTTATAAAATTATAATTTTATTATATAATAAATTATTATAATAAAAAAAAATTATTAAAGGTTGTAGTATTATTATATTTGTAAAGTATGATCAGTTTGGATTTAAAAATTTGTATTCTAAAATCTTTAATATATCATTAAATAATATTAGTAAAAGTAATAATTATTACCTATCATATTTAATGCATTCGCAAAAATAAATTGTTTGATTTCAATATGAATTCTTTATTTTTAATTTGGAATTTGGTGTTTTTGGTTCTCCATTCATTACATAGTTTTTTTTTTAGTTTATAAAATATCTTGTATATGAATCCTTGCTTTTTCCCAAAATATAACTATTTTTTGTACAGAAAGATGAGTACTTTCATGTATATTTAATTTAATAATTCCTAAGTCATAGAAAAATAACAATAAAGCTTACTTGATTGATGGCAATTTGACATCAGTAATTTGACTGCATTCATTATCAAATAAATACATATTGTTACTTATCCTCTAATGTATCATAATAATAATTACAAATATATTTTCAGAAAAAAAATAAAAAACATTTGAAATATATGAACACTATTAAACACAAGTTATGACTAACCACTGTTCAAAAACTAATTTTTTGGATGGATAATTTGTGTATTTGGATTAATGTTAAATATCAATAATAATATAAGAGCCAATATAAATAATTCCCTTTTACGTTACATTATTTTTTAAAAATAGCTTATAGAGATATTGAAAAAATGAAAGATAAAGTTTTACACATTAGTGAAAAATAATGAATTATATATAGTACATACCTTGTAGGTAAATATATATATATATACATGTAGTACATTACTATATCAAAAATTTTGTCAAAACAGATTTTTATACACTTAAGTTAATATAGCTAACAAAAAAATATAAATATTAAAAAAAATAATATTAATTAATACAAAAATTATTTTAAATTTAGTTTTATATAATTTATCATTTATAACAATTTTTATTTTGGCCAATGGTTTACAAAATAAGGGTAAAAATTTTAAACCTTTAGAAAAATTTTGGAAGTTTAAAATTTAAGTTAAAATGAGCACTTGTTTGATTGAAGCAGTATTTTGAGTAATTCATTCTTGTATATATAATTTTTTAGGGTATGAGACTAAAATAATTTCAACTTGAAATTTAAAGACCACCCAAATATATACACACATATTTACTGATATTTAGTTTTGATTATTTATTTTATTTTTTTAATAATTAAAAAAATATGCATATACTTTAATTACAGGTTTAAATTCAAACGCTTCAACTACAGAGGTTAAATCTTCTCAGTCTATATCTACAGTTATTAGTCTGCTTACAACTCTTTGCCGTGGATCTAAATCTGTGTCTCATGTATGTTTATTTTATTAAAACTAAACTATAATATCATTCTATATTTATATATATCACATAATTTATTTTTAAAGTTGTTACTGTTCTTTTTTTTTTTTTTTGGAGGAACATAGAAATTAAATAAAAAGGCAATGTCAAAATAAAATAAATTCTTGTTTATTAACTATTTTATAGATTTTTAAAATGTTTTTTTTTTTTTTTTTTTTTTTTTTTAGGATTTATTTAGATCTAATTTAGCTGATGCTATTGAAAAAGCTCTAAAAGGAGACGAGAGGTAAATTAATCAAGTATTAATTTTATTCTGAATATATGTAAAAATATTTTTATATGGTAGATGCTGTTTGGACACTATGCGTTTGGTTGACTTATTACTTGTACTACTTCTTGAAGGACGTGATGCTGTGTCATGGAGCACAGTGGCATGTACAACCAATAATCCTTTATTACCGAAACTTCGGCGTTTAGATTCTAGTGCTGAAAAATCTCAAAGACATTTAATTGATTGTATTAGAAGTAAAGACACTGAAGCATTAATGGAATCAGTTAATTCTGGTGGTAAGTAAAATTGTTTATTTACATAATTAATTTTGGGTAATAAATATATTTTTGTTAATTATTTTAGCAATTGATGTAAATTTTGTGGATGAAGTTGGTCAAACATTACTTAATTGGGCTTCTGCATTCGGGACTCAAGAAATGGTTGAATATTTGTGTTCCAAAGGAGCTGATGTTAACAAAGGACTCAGATCATCTTCATTACATTATGCTGCATGTTTCGGAAGACCATCAATTGCTAAAATTCTTCTAAAAAATGGTGCTAATCCAGAACTTCGTGATGAAGAAGGTAAAACTCCACTAGATAAAGCACGAGAAAGAATGGATGAAGGACATCGTGAAGTTGCAGCTATATTGGAATCTCCTGGTAAATTGAATGTTATTTAACTATAATTTTAATGATTATTTAAATTTTTTTAATTTTCAAAACTTTTAAAAGAATGGTTGATGTCTTCCAAAAATGAAATTGTCCATTCAAATGAATCTAAAGAACCAAAAGGAGATCCTGAAATGGCAGCAATTTATCTCAAACGATTAATGCCAGTTTTTTGTAATACTTTTCAGTCTACTATGTTGCCTTCAATCAGGTTATTTTATTTTTTTTTTTTTGTGAATTTAAGTTTTTGAATTTATTAATATTTTAAATGGTAATAACTATTTTTAGGAGAACATCACTCTCTTTAATCAAAAAAATGGTTCACTATATTAAACCAGATTGGCTTGAAGATATATGTAAGTTAGAATGTCCGAATAACCTTGCTCCTTTATTGGTTGAAGTGCTTGCCACTGTTCTCGACAATGAGGTAATACTTCAAATTTATGTGTTTTCTGAATATTTTATTATACATCCATTATGTCTTATATGTTTATGTTCCTCTTTATAGCCATGGAACATTTTAAAAATTGTTCTTTTCTTGATTTAATTGTATTTAGGAAATTAAATTAGTGTTTTTATTTTGCCAATTAACTTTATTCCAGGATAAGAATTTGCTGTTTTACTATGATATGAGTGATGACAGCCAGAAATATTTACCTCGAAAGCTTTACAAGTTGTTAATTATTAAAAAAAATTATAAATTCTGGATGGTAAAATAAATTAACTGTTTGCACGTATCATAGAAAATGTTAGGATTTTATGCATATATGAAACTGGATTGACTTTTCATAATATTTTCAATGTGTATTTAAATTTAAAAACTTATATTTTTGTTTTTGATATTTTTATTTTTAATTTCTATTGCAAATAGATTCTTAACTTATTAATAATAAGTAATATTATATTTTATGTTAAAATTTCAAATTTTAATTGTTAACTTTATTTGAATGATATATATATAACTTCAATGAAAGTAAAACATTTAGATTTTTTTTTACTATAACCTAAACAAAATAATATTATTAATAATTAATTATACTTAAAACTTAATAAATTTATATTAAATTGAATAAATAAGTAGTAGTTTTTTGTGTTAAATAACAATATCTTAAATTTCATTTTAACTTAAAACTTTATATTAATAAAATACAATAAAAACAAAAAAAAAAAAACAATCTTGATAATATTAATAAATGCTAATCAATTGACTAATTATTGATATATTATTATTAAATGCATCTATTTTATATTTTAAATATTTTTATAAAAATATTAATTGAGTTTAATTTAGATCTTATTAATGTAAATTCTACAAAACAGCAAATACTATTATCTTTTTAACTGATTTCGGATTTATGATTTTGATTATTTATGAAATATAATTATCTTGGTACAATTAGTATTGGTATTACTAATATTTGTCTATGTATTTATGTGTGTATCTATAATTTTGCATGTTTTTAATTTAAAAACTTTCTCATCGTATATATTTAAAAGCTGGTTATACAATGAAATTAAATAATTGTCACATCACTTTTCAAACTTATCTTTTATAAATATTTTTATTTGTGTATAGAAATTCTAAAAAAAAAAAAAATTATTCATATGTTCTATGAATACAAATTTATTCAAATAATATTATTTTTGGAGACATCTATGTCTTCTGTAATATGTTAGAATTTCTAATCCATTGTACGTTTAGTTTTCAGAATTGTGAATAACATGATTTATTTGAAAAAGAAAATCTTATATTTTAGTTTAACCAATTTACTACTTTAATAAATGTTAATTGTTATTTTAATTATTGAAAATGTAAAAATAAATATGGCTTAATATATTTTTGAAGCAATTTGATTATTATAAAAATAATCTTGTGCTATAGAATCAAGTTGAAAAAATATTGAACCACAAAAATCCGTTATCTTTTTGTATATATATTATATATACATTCTTATTTTCTTGATTTAATTTCTTTTACATAGAAATTTATTCGATACAACTATTTATAATTATACTTACTATATTTTATTTAATACCATTGCTTTATGTATTAGGGTAGAGTTTACTATCACAAATGACTACATTCCTAATGTTCTTAATAGCTATTCATTATTTTGAAAAGTTATTAAACCAAAACATTTAAAAATGGTAATTCAATTTTTTCTTATTTCAAAATTGTTTTTTATTTGTTTGGCAATTTCAAACTTATCTTATTATCTTAATTATCTTATTAATATTCATACTAATTTATATGTTTAATTTAGTCAAGTGTATAGTTTAATCTTTATTAAATATATAATTCTGGTAAGTAATAATCAATATGAATTTACTGTGAAGTAATTTTGATTTAAAGCCAATAAAATGAATTGAAATAGTTATAATTGTATATCTTAAGAAAAATTAAATTGTATAAAGTCTTAATAAAGTAAATTAAATTATAATATTATTTTCTTAAAATTATTGAATATTTTAAGTTATATTAAGTTTGTATTAAAATTATAAACCGTTAGCATTTTAATTAATGAAAGAGCATTTGTATACCTTAAAATAAAATGTTATACCTATTTACTAATATATTATATTATTGTAATATAAACATGTATTTTAATTTTTATTACTGTTGCTAATGTTTTTAACTATATATTAATAATTGCATTTTTAGCTTCAATAGATTTTGTTTTTTAATTTTAATATGTTAAAATTTCTGTCAATTATTTTTATAAATATTTTTATTGTTTTTTGCAGGAAGATGATGATGGACATGTTATTGCTCTACAAACTATTTATGATCTTTTGATTAAATGCCAGGACACTTTTCTTGATCATTTTGCACGTTTGGGTGTTTTTTGTAAAGTTCAACAGCTCATTGGTCCTGATAATAATCCAGAAAAAGATAATATCCAACAGATTGATTCAAAACAGGTATAAAATTATAACTTTTATAGATCTTTTTAATTGTTAATAATGAGTATTCAATTTATATTATATTACATGTATTATGTTTATATTTTATTATTTTCTTAGTATCAAATTGAAGATGCTAAAGAAATATTACCTGGACATGCATATCATTGGAAAGATTGGTTTTTTTGTCGTGGTCGAGATTGTCTTTATGCTTGGAATGATTATGTTGTCTTAGAGTTGTCAAATGGCAGCAATGGATGGTTTAGATTTATGATAAATGATAAACTATCTACCATGTATTCCAGTGGAAGCCCTGAAGGCCAACCTGATACAAGTAAGAGTTAATAATAGTTAATAGTTTTCACTTATAGTTTTATTTTATTACTTATTTCAACTTTAAATTTGATACAGATAAAACTAGAGTCTCTGACCAACCATCTTCTGACGGTAAATATACAATTTATTTAACGTGAAATTTGTGTTTTGGATTGTTAATACATTTTATTGGTCAAGCTAGTTAGTGTTTTAATTAAAATTTGTTTAATTTTATTTTACTCAAAAATATTTTTCCTTAGTTTATCCATAGTTTTAAATTTTTTTAGGTATATTTTTATGTTTGATAATAGATCCTTTAACCATTATGTATTTTTTACAGTTTTTATTCAATGAATAATTGAGTATTTATTATGTAATATAATTGATGAAGTTATAAAATTAACTAATAGCATCAGTAATATATAATAATAATTAATTTATGTTTTTTTTTTTTTAGAAAATAAAACTGAATTTATTGAAAAATATTTAAAAGCAAAAGTTTTTGTTAAACTTAATACCTTAAGTCAGCCAATTTTAAGTTTTCCTGGTTTAAATAGAATAGCAGTTGGTAACTGGATTCTTATTTCAAAGAAAGAAAGTGAATTAAGTATACAAAATTCTGATGGTCTACAGGTTAATATATTTTTTTATTATTTGCTTAAGAATATAAACTACAATGTTTTCAATAAATTTTATAGCAAGTTACCACATTAACATGTGATACAAATGGATTTTCATTTCAATCAAATCGAGGTAATCAACACATGTTCACTGCTTTAATGCCACTTTATAGTGATTTCACCACAGGTTGGGAAACTGTGAAAAAAGCAAATTTAGTACCTACTAAATCTGAAACTATTGGTCAAAAGGTTAATTAAATTAATTTAGTTTGATATTTTGATTTTGAATTTTTATATTATTTTATTTTATTTATTTATTTTTTTTTTTAGATTCGAAAACAAGCTCAAGAAATATATGATAAATTTTTTAAGGCTGCACAGGCTCAGCCTAGAGGTGTTGTTGCAAGGTTAAGCAAAATTGTTAATGCTATTGAATTCACTATAAAAAATCAAGTATGTTCATAATTAGTAATAATTAATTTTAACATAATTATCCCATTTTACCAATAATATAGTAATTTAATAGTAATAATATATTAAAATTATGTTTTTCAGTATTCTGTAACCAAAGACAGCTCTAACAAAGATTATTGGGCTTCGACTCTTTGTAAAGCTGTTTTTGAATTGAAACAATTGTTAATGGAGGATGAAGGTAGTGTTTCAGCATATGAAATTTATAGTAGCGGTTTAGTTGAAATCCTATTGCAACTTTTAACAATAAGTTGTCATGAAAAAAGTGATGAAGCTGCAGAATTACAGAAACTTAGGATTGACATTTTTGTTAAATGTTTTAAAGTAAAAATTAAGGTTTAATACTAATATTATAATTTATTTATTTTTACTTATTTCATAGGAAAAAAAAAAATGAAAAAAGCACAGAGACTTGTGCTTCTGTTTTAGTGCAGAAACTCATATCTGTTTTAGAATCAATAGAAAGATTACCTGTGTACTTGTATGAATCACCTGGTGTTTTCCATGGATTACAAGTAAAATTAATGATTGAAATGGTATTTTTCATTTTTTTAATGTGTTATTGTTTAAAATATTTTACAGATTTTATCAAGGCGTATAAGATTTCGCTTAGAAAAAGCTGCAAAAGAAACAACTCTTGTTGATCGCTCAGGAAGAGGTTTAAGAATGGAACCTCTTACTACTGTGCATCAACTTGAAAAACACCTATTAAAAATGGTTGCCAAACAGTGGTATGATCATGAACGAGTCTCTTATAACTTTGTTAAAAAACTAAAAGATAAAAATAATATACCGATGAAATTTAAACACTATTATGATTTTGATAAAAATGGTATCTTATATTGGATTGGAACAAATGGTAAGACTTCAGTAGATTGGGTTAACCCTGGACAATATGGTTTAATGCTAGTCCAGTCTTCGGATGGGCGGAATTTACCTTATGGTCAAGTAGAAGATATTTTAAGTAGAGACTCTGTTGCAATCAACTGTCACACCAATGATGACAGTAAGGCATGGTTTTCTATTGATCTTGGATTATGGATAATTCCAACAGATTATACACTTCGACATGCTAGAGGTTATGGTCGTTCTGCTCTTCGAAATTGGTTATTCCAAGTAAGATAATGGTTTTATAATATTATTTTTAATTTTAACTTATGATAATAATATAAATATTTTTATAATTAAATAGATGTCTAAAGATGGATCTAATTGGATTACATTATACACACATATTGATGATATAGCATTAAATGAACCAGGAAATACTGCTACTTGGTCTATAGAAATAAATGATAAAGAAGAAACTCAAGGTTGGCGACATGTTCGAATTCAACAAAATGGTAAAAATGCTTCTGGCCAAACCCATTATCTTTCATTATCTGGTTTTGAGATTTACGGAACTGTGACTGGTGTATGTGAAGATTTAGGTTAGTAATTTATAGTTTTTTTTTTTTTTTTTAATTCAAATTAATTTTTCAAGTTAATATATATTATTATACAATTTATGTAAACTGTTATAGGTAAAGCTGCTAAAGAAGCAGAAGCTAGTCTTAAACGCCAACGTCGTTTGTTTAAGTCTCAAATGTATAAACAAATGGTGCCCGGTGCTAGAGTTATGCGTGGTATTGATTGGAAATGGAGGGACCAAGATGGAAATCCACCTTGTGTTGGAACTGTTACTGGAGACTTGCATAATGGTAAATAATAAACAAAATTCATTAATTTTTATTATGTGAATTTAAAGTCTTAATTATAAGACTTTGATATTGGGGTCAGGTTGGATAGATGTTGTGTGGGATCATGGAGTTACAAACTCATACCGAATGGGTGCTGAAGGGAAGTATGATCTACGGCTAATCAATGAACCCCAAACTACATCCGCCTGTATGTTATAAATAAGATGGTTCTTTATTTCTACTTCGGAAACTTTATCAAATTTGTGTTTTAATATGTAGCATGCTAATCCCTTTATACAAATGTATAATTATAATTGTTCCTCTAGAATTTAGATTACCTGTAGGCATTTATACTTAATTTAAAATTTATTGTAGTTTGCACAATCTTTAAATTAGTGCTTGAATTGGGAAAAATTAAATTAAGGAAGCAGAATTTTATTGAAAACTACTCTTCATTGCTTATAATTTATAAAATCAATTAGGATATGCTTAAATATTATATAAATTAAAAGGAGTATTATTTTGTCTCTGTCCTACTCTAACGTAACCCCAAATTGAGCACTATTTAAAATTTCATTTTTCAAAATAATAAATTTTCTTAATAAATGTTTACAACTTTGCATGTTATTATGTTTATTTATTTGCAATAATTTAAATAAGACATTTTACTATTTCTTTGTAATATGTTTTTATTACTATAGCAAAATTCAAAAACAGTCCAAGTGCAACTTTCACTAACATTATGACAAGAATGTCTAGTTCAACTCCCAGCTTACCTGAAGCATCTAATGATAGTTCTAGTACAAATGTGTCAGTAGCCAGCACTCAAGCAGCTTCTGCTGATGATTTAGCAGTTAAGGTATGACTGAATATTTTTATTAAAAATTAATTTATTAATTTTTTTTCTATCTAAATATTATAGCAAGCTGCTCAACAATTGACTGAAAGTATTATCTCAGCTATTAGGATGGATACCTCTTCAGTTACCCCAGTAACTACAAATTCATTAGATAATTCACTTAGAATAGTTGTTCATCCAACTCCTTCTGTTGATCTCGCTACAATTGTTGAATCTACATCAAATGGTTAGCAAAATAATCTATAAAGTACTTATTATTTAAATATTTTTTTTAACATTAGTTTATGAATTTTTCAGATGAAACGCAACAAAATATTGAAAATAATAAGAAAAATAGTAATTATTACGAAGAAGAATTTTTACCAGCTTTGGGAAGAGTTAAACCAACTTATAGGCGTAGTTCTGTTACCAGTTTAGTTCATACATTGCAATCTATTCAAATTGACACACCACCTAACAATAAAGTAAGAACATTGTTTATTATTATTACATATAATACTTAATTACTTTTAATTTATATTTTAGATAAACTCTAAAGAGAAGCCAATTATAATTATGCATCATAATACATCTGATTCATCTAATTCTCAGACTCAAGATTTGTCTACTGATACTTTAATAAACAATGCAAATAATTCTGCTTTCAATACAGAAATATGTAATTCAAACCATTTAGGTATAATTTTAAATTTAAATTATTATATACTATAGATGAGATAAAGCGATGTTACATTTAAAATTGTTAATTAGATTTAGAAAAGGAAAATAAAAAAGAAGATAACCGAAATAATTCTTCAAATCACATGAGTGTTAGTGTACCAAATTTAGCATCTAACACACCACCAAGGTTACAAGGAGATATTCCTATACAAAAGCCTGTAGTCGAAACATATGCTCCTTATCAAAAGCATAGACATTATGAACGAACTAATAGTCATAATCAAAATCAAATCTCTAATCACTTATCTCAACGAGTTCCCACTTCAGTATCGAGTCTTGTTCGTTTGGCTCTGTCTTCTAATTTTCCAAGTAAATAAAAATTACATTTATTATTCTTATTTAACATTGAGCATTTTGTTATCGTTTATCATAATTAAAATGTATTTCCTGTTGTGTAATTATGTAATCTAAAAATGCATGTTTTAACAAAAAAATGAACTACTATTTGAAATTATTTATTGTGTTATGATAGTACCTTAATCTTAGTTCATTATTTATAATAAAGTAATAAAATAAAACAAAAATTAGAAAATTGTTTACACTCGTAAATGAATATATAAATTAATATTTTGTATATAAAAATAAATAAATAAATGTTTAGCCTTGAGTATTATTATATATTTTTTTTTAATTAGAAACTACTATTTAAAAAAATTCTGGTATTTAAGTTGTAATTTTAAGAAAAGAGGAGGTTGTAAAAATATATATAAATTTGATTCAGGATATGTATGTAGGTTTGAAGACTTGTGCTAAAAGTTTGCGTGGAGTAACAGAAGATTTTTCAACATAGAAGTTGGTGTGCATTAGGGGTTGGCTCTAAGCCATTATATGTTTTCTGTGGTAATAGATAAAGTTATTAAAGGGATACTGGGCAAGATACTATGGTGTATAATGTTCGCTAATGATATAGTTTTGAAAATCTGAAAGAAGTTATTAATAAGTTGGATGAATGGAGGTTAACCCTTAAAGGAAAGAGATTGAGAATTAGTAGAAATAAAACAGAATATATAGAGTATGACTGGAAAAAGAAATTAAGAAGTAGAGGGGATGAAAGGATTGATAACAATAAGCGGTGATGTGATAGGTAAAGTCGAGAACTTTAAATATTTAGGATCATTAGTACAAAAGGACTGTGGCAAAAATAATAATTACTTTGAATGATAATATTATATATTTAAATATAAAATTATACGTCAGTGAATTGTGTAGTGTGCGGAGGGCCTAAGTGCAATTGGATAAAATGGAGAAAAACTTTAAGCATTTTATATAATAAGAGAATTTCAATGAGGCTAAAGATAAATTTTACTGAAGTGTGGTGAGACCAACTATGCTATATGATTCGGAGTATTGGGTGGTTGATAGAAAAATAGAATAGAGTATGAGTGTTGCAGAAAAGAGAATGTTTAGGCGGATGAGTGGAGTGACAAGAGAAGATAGAATAAGGAATGAATATGTAAGAAGAGGTAGTATTGGTAATGATTATTAATAATGGATAAGATGAGAAAAAATAGAATAATATGGTTTAGGCATGTGAAGAGGCAAGAAGAAACAAAAGCAGAGAGGTTATGAAAATAAACATCGAAGGGAAAAAAGGAAGAGGAAGACTATAAAAGAGATGGCTGGATACAATTGAGAATGACATGAGAGCTGTTGATGTGTGCGTAGGGAATGTAGAAAATCAAGACTAGGGGAGGTTTAGGACAAGAGTGGCTAACTTCGATTAGTTGGGATAAAAGTGAAGGAGAAGAAGAATATATATAAATTATTTATTTATATATTCATTATTTAAATTTTATATCAAATTCTACTCAATAACTCAGTTATATATGTAGTCTATTTATAAAATCATTCCATATTTAAATCATAAAATAAAAAATATTTATTAGAAATTAATTTTTTAGGTGGTTTACTTCAAACAGCACAAAGTTATCCAAGTTTATCAGTTAATAATACTACTAATAATTCATGTTCTATTACAACCATTGCTAATAGAACTTTGTGTGTTGGCGAAGCTTTAACTATGAGTCTAGCATCAACATCAAGTGATAGTGAACAAGTCAGTTTAGAAGTTAGTGTCCTTTATAGTATATTATAATTTATTCAATTTACCAAGAATTTAACTTTTATAGGACTTTTTGGATAGTGTTCGTGCTCCAGCTTTGTTTGCGGAACTTGAAGATGATGAAGAGATTGTTGAAGATGATGATATTCCTGATGATGATGAAAATGAAGATGAACAAGAATATGAAGAGGTGATGGTTTCCAGAAATTTACTCACTATGGTGAGAGGAGTAAATAAAATAATATATTATCAAAGATAATGTTATTGATTTTTTTTTGATCATTTTATAAATTATGTATTATTTTATATTAGGAGGAAGAAACATATGAATCACAACATGCTGCTATTGCTAGTATTGTGGGTACAGATAGATGTGGTAATCCATATAAGAGACGGTCGTGGGATGATGATTATGTACTTAGGAGAGAGTTCACTGCATTAATTCCAGCTTTTGATCCTCGACCTGGGCGTACAAATGTAAATCAAACATCTGATTTAGAAGTTATTGCTCCTCCTGAAGATGAAAATGAGGAAAGTTCTGATATTTTTACCTCTGACTCAAGTACAATTAATAATCAGACATCATTACCAAGACTAAAATTGACTTTAAAAGGTCCTAATTTACCAGGTGTAAGTTATTAAAATTTTCTAAATTAAATACTTTTATCTATTTAACTATTTAATAAATAATTTATTTTTATTTTTCATAAATTAATTATATTTGTAGATTAAAGATGTAGAAGTTGAACTTAAGGATTCTAATTGGACCATTTTCCATGCTGTTCAGAAATTAGCACAGTTAGCCGATCTTGGAAGTCGCCAAGAAAGGTCTAGACGCATTTGGGAACCTACATATACGTGAGTACAATTCAATAACTCAATTTTTATTATAATTTATTTTTATAATTTATTTATTTAAAGAATAATATATGAAGAATTGACAAATGAAGCTCAAAAACTTAGTTTGGACCCTGATAATCAGTGGGATTCTGATTTACCGATATTCTCTACACGAACTCAATTAAGCAGTACTGGTTGCACTGTTGATCATGTGCTTCAACTTTTACGGGAACTTCATAATCTTTCCATTAATCCATCAATCTCTTTACTTAAACCTTACACTGATGACTTTTTTGAAGGTAATTATTATTCTATATAATATTATAAGAATTATTTGCTTATTGTTTTATAGCTTATACAATTGTTGGTTTTCAGTACAAAAAAAAGATGAAGGAGATTTAATTAATAATGAAATATTTAATAGTAAAAAAATGACTAATAAACTAGTTCAACAAATTCAAGATCCACTAGTTTTAAGTTCAAGTGCACTTCCATCTTGGTGTGAACATATGAATCTTTCTTATTCATTTTTATTTCCATTTGAAACAAGGCATTTGTATTTCAATTGTACTGCGTTTGGGCCCTCTAGGTAATATATATATACATATGAATCGATGATTGCAGAAATGTCACGAGTCACATATTTTATGAAATTGAGAAAATAGTAAAAACATAAACTAGTCATATGTTTTTATTCGTTATTTGATGTAAAAACATCTTAAGTTATAAAAACACAAATCTAGTATATATTTTTACTAATATCTTAATTTCATAAAATATGTGACTGGTGATGTTTCTGCAATCATCAATTCATGTATATTTTTTTGTGTGTATGTGAATTGGTGTTGGTGTTATTTATTTATTTCACTTAAATTATATTAAATAATATTTAATTTATTTTAGATCTATTGTTTGGTTGCAATCTCAAAGAGAAAATGTGGAACGACATCGTACTGGTTCTAGTCTACCACTTAGACGAGAAGAAGATTATAGAGTTGGTCGCTTAAAACATGATCGTGTTCGTATACCTCGAGGTGAAAACATACTTGCTTGGGGTAGACAACTTATGCGTGCTCATATTGATCGACAAACCGTTTTGGAAGTTGAGTTTATGGGTGAAGAAGGTACTGGATTAGGCCCCACTTTAGAATTTTATTCATTAATTGCTGCAGAATTCCAACGAAAAGATCTTTGTATGTATAGTGTATTTAAGTATTGTATGTTGAATTTTATAATTAAAATGCATTTCATGGCTAAATTATATAGGTATGTGGATGTGCGATGATGAAATACCTGAAGAAACCAGCCAATGTAGTTGGCTTGAAGAAGGTGCTAAACCACCAGGATATTATGTCAGACGTTCTGGTGGACTTTATCCAGCACCATTGCCTCAAGATCAACCTTGTTGTGATAGAGCTGTTAAACATTTTTGGTTCCTTGGCATGTTCCTAGCTAAAGTTCTTCAAGATAATCGTTTAATTGACCTTCCATTATCTTTACCATTCCTAAAACTTTTAACTAACGCTAAAAATAATGAGTAAGCTAAATAAACAATAAATAATATTGAAAATGTAATAATAAATTTAATTATTTAATTAGGTCAGGTAGAGAGCTGAATGAGTCTGACTTGTTTGAAATAGACAAAGAACAAGCAATATTTATAAATGATTTAAAAAAGTTAATTTTGGCAAAGGAAAAAATATTACTTGACCAATATTTGAATGATGAAGAAAAATCTCAACAAATTAAAAATTTACAATTTCAATGTGGTGAAACAGATGCAGTTCAACTAGAAAATCTAAGCTTGAGCATGATTTACTTACCATCATCTTATTGTTTTCCATTTACATTTGTTAATTTAATTGATGAAGGACTTGGTCAAGATATTAACATGGATAATGTTGAGCAATATGTTAGTTTATTAACTGATTTTATTTTGGAAACTGGCATCAAAAGACAAATGGAAGCATTAAAAGCTGGTTTTTGCCGTGTATTCTCTATTGAAAAATTAAATGCATTTACTCCACTTGAGCTTAGACGAATGTTGTGTGGACAACAAGAACCAGAATGGACAAGAGAAGATTTATTGAATTATACTGAACCTAAATTGGGTTATAATAAAGAAAGGTACAAAATAAAAAGTATAATATATAAATTGATTATATCTATATTTGTTTATTTTTATTTTTCTGGTTGAGCTATTTATAAATTGAAAAACTCAACTAAAATGTAAACTTAAAGTGTGTTTAAAATTACATTTAAAAAAAACAATTATTGTACAATATAATATATAAAAGTTACTAAATTAATGTAAATTATAAGGGTGTTAATTTACCATCATTAATAGCTTATTTTGACACTTGAATGTTTAGTTAGGTTTTTTTGGTCATTTAGTTCTGTTCTTATCATAAATTATAATTTAATCCTCATATAAATATGCAATTTTTAAAATTAATTTTTGAAAATATGTTATTATTATTGTTATCTAACAATTAGATAAAAATGAAGTGTATATCTTATTTTATTTTTAATTATTGCGAGAAAGTATTTTCATAATAATTTATAATATTTTAAATGTTTCAGTCCTGGATTTATACGTTTAGTGAATGTATTGGAACAAATGAATTCTGAAGAACGTAAATCATTTTTACAATTTACTACTGGTTGCTCTTCATTACCACCAGGAGGCCTGGCTAACCTATATCCGAGACTAACTGTGGTACGAAAAGTCGATGCTGGTGCAGGTAGTTTTCCATCAGTAAACACTTGTGTTCATTACTTGAAATTGCCTGAATATCCAGATGAACAAACACTAAGAGAACGTTTGTTAGCTGCTACCCTAGAAAAAGGTTTCCATCTAAATTAATCATATTTTGATAGTTAATTTGTAATTAATAGCAAAACTTTTTCTTATCAATTATAATTTTCTTGCATAATAGTGCTTAAAATTATATTTCATACTGTGCACCACTTCTTTTTATGTATAATTTTAAATGTCAGTGGCTATAAGCAAATAGTGTTTAATGTCTTAGAAGTTTCCTCATACCAGTGTGATACTATTTTTTTCTGTAATACCTTATTGTGATGTTAAATTTTCATTTATATATATATATATATATTTTTTTTTTTTTAGTTAAGTGTTTTGTCATAATTATAAATTTAAGGTCTTAAGAGATAAAATATTAAATTCAAGACTTTGCATGTCTCGTGAATGTTAGAAAAATTATTAAACATTTATCAAAATATAAATATAAATCTTAATTTAATTTACAATAATAGAACTTTGTGTCTATACCTATTGTATGTTTTAACTTATGTTAAATTCTACTATATAAATATTTGAATAGTTGCAGTTTATGTGCATCACATTTTACTATAGGTAATGTATGAATTAAGGGCTTATGAAAAACATTTATGTTCAATCTATGCATATTTTAGGCCATTGTAAAAGATAAGCCATCCTTTTTATTGGTTAATACTCAAGTAGGCTCTATTAAAATAGAAATGTTTACTAATTTTAAAGTTTTTATGTTGCATATAAATTATTATTTTTTATACAGATACTATTTTCACTACGTATGTCATGTTATAGTAATTATTATGGACATACATATATGTGCACCCTTATGATTACTATTACACAGGGGTCATAAGCACAAATAAAGGAGAGGCTAATTACCCGCATTTATTATCGTTTTTTATTGTATAAATGTATTATTTTATATAATTGTGATATTTTTTTTATTTAATTCAGTTTTTATCTTGCAACATTACACAGCTCTTAGTGATTATAACTAATAATAATAATTTAATGATTATTTTTATTCATTTAAAGTTATGGGAACAAAGCCTCAACTTATAATTTTTAGTTGAAAATGATAGGACCCCCCCACCATTGAAATTTCCTCTTTGTGCCTATGACAAGGAGACCACATGAATAGTGTTAAGAACATTAAAATAACTACTGTTATAATGTTGCAGAGATTAAAAAGACTAGCAAAAAATGAGGAGTTAACATTTATGAAATAATCTAATACTACTTATTAATAACAATGGTTCAATCCAAAATTGACATTCCTAAATGATATTTTAAAAATGAAAAACTTGTTTTGGTAAATATTATTTTCATTTTACATGTGATCTGGTTTTCGTATAATTATTATTTTCATCAGTGTCAACCTGACTCACAGAACTCAATGTCTAGTGCACAAAATCGTAATATAATAAGTGACAGCTACAGGTACCTAGTGATTTTTTTTACGATTGCAATACTGTTCATCACTACAACTTATAATAATTATTTAAAAGTAAATCCTAAGTCGTGATCATCCATTGCTCAATTACTATATAATATTGGTAATTCATGTAGACACAGGGCAATTGCTTCCTTGTCTATAGCTTACAATTATATTAAATTTTAAATTAGCTCATACTTATATGAATATATGGCTCTGTGTCTAAGTACTAATTTGGGAAATCAACTTATCAGTTAATACTTAAAATGCCCTTCCCTCCTGATAAGTCTCTGAAGCCGCGTCTGATTCTATATAAGCAATTTAAATAATAAATGTGAATTTATAATATTTTATTTAAACCAATATAATTTTATTTTATTGAAGGAGGCATGGGATATTTAACCACCCCTGGTTTGCCACTATATAGGCCCCATGCATTAAGTTGCTCTAGGTCGAAACAGGTCGAATATTATTTTGTGTAACCGAATAGTTTTTCATGGAAAACTATTCGAATATATCGAATAAAAAATCAAAACGTTAACTTTTTTGTTAATTGTTATTTTTATCAGTAATCAGTTATCACATTAGTGTATCACATTAGTCTCAAAATAAAATAAACATTATTTAAGCTAAGCTAATTTTAAATTTTACTGAATAATTCAGAAGTCGTAAACTATCGAATAATTGAATAGTATTCAATAATTCGAGACTATTGAATAGTCCCATTAGTTTCGAATACTTTGGAACAATCGAATATTTTGAATAATTGCTGGATTATCAAATAGTTCGATAGTGCCCATCATTAATTTTAAAACACCGAGTAAGTAATATAATAATTTTGTATTATTTATTTAATTAATACAAATCGGGGTAGTTAAATCAAATTAATAATAATGTCTTTTCATGCTGTACCTATAAAATATAGTTTCTTCTATACATGCATATTTAGTTGATGTATGGTTTATTTTAAGAATAATTATGATCAAGTCTAATTATACTTCTACTGATATAAAATGTCTTCCTGCTATAAATTTCGTGCAAAAAATCGGAGTTTATGAATCTAAAAATGTGAGTTAATAAATTTTTTTCACTAAGTTCAATACAAATCTTTTTATTTACTTGGAAATTATTTGATTGGTTTTTAGAGATATTTTGTTGTTGGATCCAATAATGCTCGTTCAAAGTATCGTATTCTTAAAATTGATCGAACCGAAGGACATGACCTAACTATTATTGATGATCGAGTTGAATATACCGAACAGGATATGATAAATTCTTTGAGTCTTGGATTACATAGAAATACTGGTTTGAGTAAAATAGGATCAGCATTTGGCATAGTTGGTAAAATTGAGATATTTTATGTATTATGAATTTTAATTTACAAATCATAGTAACTTATAATATATAAAAGTATATTTGATTAAATTTAAGGATTCGTTAGACTACTAGAAGGATATTATATGATTTTAATTACAAAACGTCGTCGTGTTGCCATGATAGGACGTGAAATCATATATAAAATTGAAGATACATCAATGATATACTTACCAAATGAAGCATATCGAATTCCAAATGTTAATGAACCACGTTATTTAAAAATTTTTCAAAGTGTAGATTTGTCTAGCAATTTTTATTTTAGGTAATGCATAAAACATGTATTATAAATTTAAATTGATTTACATTGGAAGTACCAAAAATAATTATTAATTGTTGTTATTGCTTAATGATTAGTTACAGTTATGATGTTACACATACACTGCAGGTCAATATGTCTATTGCACAAAATATCCCAAATGGTTAGTATTTTGTTACTAAAAATGTAATCTGTTTACAATTATTACTAATATACTATGTTTTGTTATTAAAAAAAAAAAATAATATATTTTATTGACACAATTGATTTTTGTATACTAGAGAAATGTATTTTTATTTGTGGTATTAACAATTTAAGTTAATAAAAAAAATGTCTTATCAGTGCCAATCTTACAGTTTACTTTTGCCAAATATCATTGAAACTTTAGTTGGTGTTAGAGAGGATGTTTCAATAATTGTATAGCATAATTTGGTAGTTAGAATAACGTAAAAGATATATGTAAATAAAAATATCCATAATACTTGGTGTTTTAGATTAAATTGATGACTGGTTATTAATAAGGTAATTTATGTGATTTATTTTATTGTTTTAGATTTATCTGATGGAGAATGTTTATTTGTTACTCGAAGTAGTCCTAATAAAATTTTTATTTGGAATGATTATTTATTAAAAGATGTAATTAACAAAATACATCCAGATTGGATTTTAAATATAATGCATGGTTTTATTAGTCAATCAAATGTATCTATTTTTGGACGTCCAATATATATTACATTGATTGCACGAAGATCAAATAAATATGCTGGTACAAGATTTTTAAAAAGAGGAGCCAATATTAATGTAAATATATTATTACTTTTTATCAAATGTATTCTCAATATTATTTCTAACAATAATAAGCTTAATTTTAGTGTTAGATAAAATAAACTTTATTAGTCCTAGGACAGCAACATTTTCAAATTAAAGCCCTTTTTTTAGAGAATTCGATGAGTATTTGACCTAAAATTAATAAAAACAGCATTTTTCCCTACGAAGCCATTTTTAATTATATAAATGCTTAGTTCATTTTTGTTTTTACTATAAACACGTGTTAGAATTTTAAATAAAATTACAAAAATTATCTTACTCTTGTAATCATTAATTTTTAATTTTACCATATATTTTTCCCATTATTCAAAATATTATTTTTTGGAAGTTGTATAATTCAAATTATGGTTTGTTAATTATAAGAACTTATTTAAAATTTATCAGAGTTTTGTCTAAATTATTAATGATTCATTATAATTATATTTATTTTTGTGATTTATTATTCATTATTTGTTGGATATGATTGAGAATGATATGAGAGCCTTTGGTGTATGCATATGGAATGTTGAAAATCAAGATAAATGAAAGTCTAGTATAAGGATGAACAACCCCAAATAATTGAGAGAATGATATAAGAGATGAAGATGAGTGATTCATTATATACTTTTTTCAATGTAAAAAACCATACTGCTTTTAGGTGAATGGAATGTTTTTGAATGTGTTTTAAAATGTGCATCAGACTTTTATTTAACTTTTTTTTTACAGTTATAATGCTATCATACTCATTAAGGTACCTACGGTATTTAATGTATACCTATTTGTTTTAGGGAGAAGTTGGAAATGAAGTTGAAACTGAACAAATTGTTCAAGATCTTGGAGCAAGTTGTCAAAACCATGTGTATATAAGCTCATTTCTTCAAATGAGAGGTTCAGTTCCTGGATTATGGAGTCAAGATATGAGTAAAATGGTTCCAAAACCAACAATATCATTTGAATTACATGATCCATTTCATGAAATATCCGGTTAGTTACTTTCACTATTTGCATATTACCTCCTTTTTTTAAAGTTTATTATAAATGAGGCATTAAGTTTGTGTAAATTATAATTAATATCTTATATAATGTGTATCTTACTGCCCTGTGCTTATGTATAAGTAAGTGAATACTCATTTTGAATTTTGTACCTACCTATTTACTACCAAGACACTGCATTTATTAATATTTACTCATGATATACTCATGTAATTTGTAAACTTACATAATAAAATATTTCTTTATAATTTGATTTTTATAGTATTGCTATATTAAGATACTTTTTAAGGTGCTCATTTCAATAATATTTACAAACGATATGGTTCACCAGCAGTTATAATAAATTTGGTAAAGAAACGTGAAAAAAAGGTTCACGAATCACAGTTAAGTGATCATTTGTTATCAGCTGTAAAATATTTAAATAAGTTTCTACCTCCCTATCATCAAATTCAGTATATACATTTTGATATGGCAAGAATGAATAAAAGGTAGATTTTTATCTTTGTAATTTTATGAATCTTTATTATTATAAATATTTGTTTAGAAGAATTTGTATATTTCTTTAGTAAAAATGTGAATGTTATGAGACGTCTTGATGAAATTGCACGTATGGCTATATATAAAACTGGAATGTATATTAATTCTCCACGAATCATAGAAAAACCTACCTTTGGACAAAATAAAAATGGTGTCATACTTCAAAATGGAATAATCAGAGTAAATTGTGTTGATTGCTTAGATCGTACCAACACTGCTCAATTTGTTATTGGAAAATGTGCATTAGCTTATCAAGTATGCATTTTGATTATATTAATACATTTATAATTGAGGTTGTTGATAATTAAGTTGTAATTATAACTCCATAATCTTTTTAAAAATAATTAATATAATTAAAAATATATAAAATACAGAGGCAGATGCAGGAAAAAAATTTGGTAGAGGTTTTTTGAAAAAATAAGAATAATTACCGTTATTTTGAAATAATTATTTATTGTATTTTTATAAGTTATAACAATTATAAAATCAAATTCATCCACTTCGGTGTTTTACAATAATATCCAAGATCTCTTCACAGGATACCTCCACTTTTCTATATATGTTTAATAATGCTTACCCATTCAATCAGTTTTCCGCCGTTTTCATTCGTAAATAGGTTTTTAACCTACGAAGACAAAAGAACAATCTTTCACTCAAAGCAACTGAAACGGGAAGTGTTGCTCCAATTTGCAAAAATCGATGTACAGACTGATATAACATAGATTTACAACAGTTTAGAACATCAAAAAAAGTTTTAGGGCTATATTTTTCAGATGTATTTGAGCAATGTCTGAAACAATAATATAAACAAGTTTTCAAGAACAAAGAATATCCAAGATGATAAGAAACAAAGTCACCTACACCACATTGTGATATCCAATTTTAAATCTTCATCAGATTCTTTATGTCATTTGGCCATCCCTTTCAAAACGTTATGACTGTTACAATTATTTCTCCTGTAGTCTGTACTTTGTTGGTAAAATATTTTGTATTTTTAAAAGTAGTTCACCAGAGCCATGCCGTTAAGATTTGGTGCCCAGGGCAAAATTAAAAATATTCGTCCCCTATTTTATTTATCATTAATCATAAATTACAATGCATTTAATTTCTATTTAATTCAATTTTTTTTTACAATGTAACATTGATTTGAAAAAAAACTAAAGCTGATTGTAATAGTAATTATTTAACTATATTATTAGTAAATACCAATAGTCATTAATTTGTATCTGGTTTTTATTTATTTTCGCTTATCGCACCCCACGTGTTCAACGTGCCGTTGATTTTGAGATAAAGAATACGATAATTTATTATAAAGCCAAATAATACAAGAATAAAACGTTGTGGTTGACTAATTGCTATTACTCGAACCATGATGAAATAAATTATAAATTAATTAATTAATTAAATTAATTATAAATTAGTTTATTTTATCATGACTCGAACATAGTCGGAAATATTTTGTTCAGAAAAAATTTGTTATGGTCCAAAATAATTGTATAACAATAATCTTTCTCATATATTTTATTTATGTAAAGATTAAAATATTATAAAAAAAATGTTTGGTACCCCTTTAAATCATGCGCCCGGGGGCGCATGCCTCCTAGGCTCCCCTACGGCACGGCTCTGTAATTCATGATGATCGAGAAACCTAGATTTGAGTTGATCTAATAAATGGTCTAAAAATGGATTAAAAATGGATCGACGGTAATACGTTTCGGGAACTCTTTCATAGTTGATGAGGTTGTACTTCATCAGTTTTAATGCTGTTCTCGTTAAGTTCCTCCAATGATGAGTAACTATGTTCGTAAACATTATGAAATAAACTCAGAGAATTCAAATGTTCAAAATTATACTATCAACAACTTTAGAGGTGGTTTTCGGTAGCAAATTTTGTCTAGTTGGTTCAATAGAGACTAGATAGGTAATTTTTTTTAATATCCCAACAGTTTTCCTAATAATTGCGTTTTCGACACGCGTTTTCATAAAAATATAATTTTCTAACGCTTATAACATTTAGTAAACTTTTTTGGTTCTCTGGAAAAAGCAACATTTCCAGTACATTATTTTATATCTCCTAGTTTTAAGTTTACATATTAAAATGTTTATCAATTTACTACCAAAAATTGGCAGATTTCGTGATTTCTATCAACAGTTCAAATTCAAACGCTTATTTTTAAAAATTATAACAGCAGATTTTTTAGATTTTTTTGACACGAGTAAGAACAATGTATGAGGAACATTGCACTAAAATTTTAAAATTTTGTAGTCGACCAAAATTTTTTTATTGACGTTTTACGAGAAAAAAAAAGGATAATAGCGAAACGAACGCGGCGAAACATATTAGACCCATTATTTTTACGAAGTATTGTTATCATACCATTTTAAGCTGAAAATACTAATACCTTTTAGAATGTTTGGAAAATTATAAATTATTACAGATTCATTTTTCTTACTAAAATTTGAAATTCTTTTTTTCTAGCATATTTTAATCGTCTTTTGAACAATTCATTTTTTTTTTTAAGGTAGATAAAATAGAATAACTACGTTTGAAATTAATCATCCATTCATTGGGGGGAGGTGAACCCCAAAAACCTCTCCCTGCGTCCGTCACTGATAAAATATAATATATATTGTTTATATTTTATATAATCTATATTTACTCGTAACTAGTTTATATTGTATAGAAAACATAACAAAAAGTACTTTTTTTTAATAATATTTCTTACAGCTTTATTATTTAGGTCTATTAGACAAACCATCTTTAGAATATGATACTGACTGTGTTAGATTATTAGAAGTATCATATGAAGACCATGGGGATACTTTAGCATTACAATATGGAGGATCTCAACTAATTCATCGTATAAAAACTTATCGCAAAACTGCCCCATGGACATCACAAGGCAATGATATTATGCAAACATTAAGTCGTTATTATAGCAATACATTTTCAGGTTAGCAAATTAATCAATAGACTTTGATTATATCAATAAGTATATATGTTTATATATTTCAATGTTCCCTAAGTATCTATTCACCAAATGAGAAGCAAAATTAATAGAGTTCTCTTTGTTTGCCCATAATAAACTAATAACTACATTTTCATTATAAATTGCTAAATATTTTCAACTTTGATTTTGTCATAGATATTTTTTGAAAAAATTATTTTTATTACAAAATGTACATTTAAAAACGCAATTCCACTAAATATATTGATTATATATAGATACTGAGAAACAAAACGCCATAAATCTGTTTTTGGGATTATTTGTTCCAAATGACAATGAACCTGCAATTTGGGAGCAAAATTTTGATTACTATTTGCATCATCCAGAAGCAACTTCATTTATTTCTAATGACCAGTTAGTAGTAACAAATTTGCTAATAGTTGTTTGTATGACAAAGTATTATATATTTATATTTTCATAAGCATAATAAATATTAAATAATTAATATTTTTAGCCGTCTATTGACAAGGTGGTGGGACAATTGTTTAATGGATTGCTTACCATTATCTTATTTGGAATGTAAAAAGAAATATTTAGAAATATATCCTGCTAGTTCATTAAATATTGATGATTATGACAGTTTTGTTCACTTCTATAGAACAGATGAATTTAGTACAATGTCTGAAAGTTATGCTTTTGAAATTAGCCATTCTGTAAGGTATATATTTAGCAATTCTTAATTTGTTTTAATTCATAAACAAGTATTATTTATTTTTATTCAACAAATTAACACATTTTTAGAGACTTTATGCCAAATTGTGTAACAGATTTCAGTCCCTTTTCTATGCGTATCAGACCAGGTAAGAAACGTGAACAAATATCTGACAAAACAAGAAACCCTTCCATGACAGGTCATAGCTCTACAAATTCAATCAACTCGAGTAGCAGGTATACTAATTAATATATTATCATTATTGTTATATTTGTATTTATACTATAGCTTAATAATTTATTTTAGCGGAAGCTCTTAAAAAAAAAAAATTGGAAATTTTATTAGTATTCTTAACAGTAGTCGATTAAGACTTTGTATAGAAAGGTCTTAGAATTAATAATTTAAAAATGAAACTTAAAATATTATTTTTTTTAACCAAATAAATTTAATTTAACTTAGTTATCTATCATTAAATAGATAAAGTGTACTGTTATTTTATGTAATATAATATAATATGTCAAAAAAACAAATTAATCATTGAAATATTTATACAATTTGTATGAGTTATGCAAATTGAAGTGCATGATAAGTAATAAAAACCAGATTAATAATAACACTAATAATAAATATTTCTGATTGTTATAAGTTGTGGCAGTGGGGAAAGTGATGAAGATATTTCTTTTTCAAAACGTATTGAATGTGGAAGTATTCCTTCAAAAGACAATTCTATTACATTTGATCCTCTACAACCAGAACATAGCAATTATGGAATCAATCTGGCTTTAGCACAACCATCTGAAATTGCTATTTACAAAAAGTAATTTATTATTTAGATTAATATACTTAATTTATAATAAATTGAATGATTTCATTTTTTTCTTGCTACTTCTGATATTCAATTGTTAATTCCTTTAAAATAATATCTATTCTTCTTAAACTATTATTTTTATGTTGTTATTTTAAATTATATATTATCATTTAAGAATTATTATTATTATTAATCTACTTATTCTTGTATATTCTGCTGTTTTCCTGGGTTAAATTAATTTTTATGAATCTTGGCCTTGAATTTTTTTACATCCAATTGTAATTATAATTTTTTAAACTTTACAGATATATAATAATGGCAATTAATCCATCAAGTGTATTGACAGTGACACCAAGTAGCCAATCTAAATATAATAGTTCATTTAGTGTTCCTGTACCAGAAGTTAGTTCATCAAATGTAAATGTATATGAATCATATGTAAATAAAGGTTTAGTAGGTTCACCTATTTGTAGTAATAAAATAATTAATCAATATACAAATTATATTCAATGTAATTAGTTAATTAATTTTAAATTAAAATTATTTATTAATTAATTTGTACAAATATTTTAATGTTTTATAACATTTTAAATTAATAAACTTAAATAAAAGTATAATTGTTTATGATATATTATTTATATCTGATTATTAGTTCAATCATTTGGTTATTATAATTATTTGACATTCTAACATAAATTATGCCTGTGTATTACTTTTAGCATAAAATATAAATTATGCATTTATTAAATATATTAATAAAAGCATTGCTAATTATATTTAAATAAAGTGATTTGTTTTAACATAATATATTAGGATAATTTATTAAGTTCTATATTTTATTATTTAATATTATTATATTTATATCATTAATACATTTAGTTTACAATTTGTAGCAAACTTATTATTCTAAATAATAATTTTTTTTTTATTATATATTCCGGAATTTGTGATTATTATAAATTAGTTATTATTTTTAAGGTACTCAGTTGCATGTTTGGAGTAGGAATATGGCATATCGCTGAGGCAAATATTTTATGCGCCTCTAAATAAAAAAAAAAAAAAAAAAAATATGGCATATCAAATTATTGAATCCATTTAATTACTAGTGACTGGAGCTAGTCAGCCACTTACTGATTATCCAAAGTGATTAAATTTAATCTACAATGTGTAGTGTGGCGCCGGTTATTCTACGGTGCCACATTAAAGATAAGTACTAAATGTTAAGTCTGGGACTCATTCAATAAATATACTTGTAAAGAATAATTTTTTACGGTATTGTTAGTAATTTATTTCAAGACTTAGAAAAATCAATGGAATTACAATTATGATGATGATCGATATAAGCAGAGCTTTCTTATGAATGGCTGGATATGTCTGAATTTATTGCCGATCCAAAAACCCTATTTATGTTGCTGGATGGTCTTTTTGTAGCTGATCCCATGCAAATGTGATGTTCGTGTATTAGTCACTTCGTTTTTAATTACTTATTTTATAGTTAAATGTGAATTATTTGCTCTCACAGATGACATTATTAGAAAATATGTTTGCATGTGTACAATGTAGTTTTCTGAGAATTTATACTATATACACTTAATATGTTACACATTAAGCTATTATTTTTTTTAAATATGTGTAGGGCTACAAACACGTTTTTTTCATGCACATTATTATTCATATTAATGACCAGGGCTAGGATTTGTATGCAACAGCATGTTTTTTTTTGCGACTTCTGATTATTGATTTTGTCAGTAATGTCTACGAATCACCTCATGATGAGATACATGGTGGCATTTTTATTTTGCATGTTTTTGCATATTTTAGATAAAATGCATATTATTGCATATATTGAATAAAATGAATATTATTGCATATTTCGATTATAAGAATGCGAAAAATTGATATTTTTTAGCATATTTTGTAATTAATATTTATAATTTAATATTAATATTTCGTATTTAATTCTAGACCTGCTGATTAAAGTATAAAACTTGGTTCTTTTTGTCAAACATAAAATTTATTTTAAATTATTTTTTTTATTTTATTTTTCAATTACATTATATTAAGTTACATTTTTAAAAATGTGTACTTTGTTTTGTAATTGGTAAGTTAACCAATTATTTTCTTATATTTATAGTTAATGAATAAACGATATAACTTTTCAAGATAGGTATATGAATAAATTACATTTATAAATTTAATAAATAATTATGTTGTACGTAAATACATAGCGTTGTTCATTGACTACAAACTAAAAAAATTGGTTTGTTTAGAGACTTAAAATACTAAATTTTTTTTTAAGTAATTTGCCCTTCATTAGAACTAATATAACAACCTTCATTAGAACTAATATAACAACCCAAAAAAATTAAAAAATAAAAAAATAAAAAATCATGCATTGTAGGGTTAAGAAAAAAATCCAACCACTGATGTATTTCAACAAACAAATATTTTTTTTTAACTATATTTTTGTGTTTATCTTATAAAAATCTAAATGCATATTTTGCATATTTTGGTAAATGAAATGCATATTTTACAATTTTTTATTGCATACAAATCCTAGCCCTGTTAATGACATATGACATATTACACTTCATCAGATTTTTGTGTGTTATTATTTTACATTAGTAATATGTGGCATATTACATTATTGATGTGATGTAAAAGCATATTTAAGTTTTGGCTTACCGTAAAAAAAAAAATTTGGAGGCTCTTGGTCTATAGCATGGATGGTTACTAACCATAATTTCGGGAGCCATAAATGTATAAAGCTAATTCGAAAAAAGCCTTACTGTTAAAAGATATTTATAAAATAAAGACACATTTTTCATTATATTATTTTATTATATATATTTAATTATTATTAACATTATTAGAAGAATTATTTATAAGAATTGCTTTTTTGAGTGTTCATTTTTTCTGTTAGTTTTTTTTAAACCAGGTTGATAATTGGTAAGTGTAGTTTGCATAAGTTCACTTAAAATTTCATCAGTAAATCCAGATCGATGTTTAGATTTAATGACTTTAAGCGTTGAATACAATGATTCTCATACATAGAGGTCCCAAAAATTTAAATAAGTCTCTTTGCACACTCTTTTGTTAGTGGGTATTTTTTTTCTGAAATATTTTTTCCAAAATTCTATGGTAGAAACACCACTTCGTTTGAGTACTTTCAGTCCTTCGTTCTCATTCAGTTTTAATAAATCCAACTCTACAGCTGTTGTATCCTTTGTATTGATAATGGAACAGGACTGCTATCGCTCACAACATCAATGGCGAAAGAATTTTCCAGGAATAAAAATGAAGATTTAAACGATCTCAAATCATGAAGTCTGCCATTGATTTCTTCAGCTAGGCCAGACATTTTATTCGAGTAATTTTCGATATCTATCTGAATGTCAGGAAGGCTTTCATTAATTTTCTTCTAACATTTGAGGTGAGCAAATGATTAGCTTGAAGATCTTAATTAAAAGGCTTCATATTTATATGAAAGCTAAATACAGTCTGAGCCAAATCAGAAATAAGTTTTTTCCCTTCCTCGTAAAGTTATGTTTATGTTAAATTCTTAACCACATCTGTAAAAAAAAACCTAATATAACGACCACTGGAGTTCGTTAAGTTTAGGGGAAGATTTTATTTTTCTTTCATAAATTGTTTGATTGGATCAAGTAATTCAAAAATCTGTCAAGAAAATTGCTTATTGATAGCCATCTCACTAAGCAGTACCAAGATACATCATCAAGTAACTTACCATTGTTCATTTATTTTATATTAGATTTGAATTGTCGGTGTGTTTTGGCACTTGAGCGAATGCAGATTTTTTTTAACTGCAAAGTTTTTAACTACCTATCTGTATAATATACGGGTATTATACACGTTGGAAATCAGGAAATGATGTGTCAATATTTAATAGCCTAATAAGTCCTTATTTCGTACCAGTCATAGATGGTGAACCATCGGTAGCAATACCTACTGACAATATTACTGATAGGCACTGCGTTTTTCTGTAAAATCCCATCCAAGGCTTCTTTAATGTCACAACCCCTCAAAGTAACCAAGTGTAAGAGTTCTTCCACTACTTCAAAATGTTTTGACACATTCCTCACAAATATGGCTAATTGTGGTTGACCTTTAATATTAGTAGACTTATCCAGAGCCAGATCTACTGCTAAGCACTCGTTTAGATTTTTTTTGTAAATTATTTAAAATATCTGCACTAATAACAGAAACACGCCTATATATTGTGTGTCTAGCAGATAGAGATCAGCAGGGAAAGTTTTTTTTCGGCCAGATCCGGCCCAAAACTTAAACTTTTAAATTTTCGTCGTCTAGGCCTGGTCCATATTTTATTTTTTTTAAAAGTCTAGGACCGTTTGTAATTTTTTTTTTCAAAGTCCAACCCAACCATGTCCGTTTGTAAATAAAAATATACATCAACTGTATTTCCTTTCAGTATTAACTTAGCAGACAAAAACATTTCATAAAGACAATAAATGTATTAAAAAAAAAAAAAATGCTAAATTTTATTAAAATTTAAATATAAAATTATTTATAGATATAGAATACATAATGCTACAAATTAAATTAATTAGTTTTGGTTTGACCGACCCGGCCCAATGAATAATATTACAATCCCACCTATAACCAACCCATAATATTTAAACTATGGCCCGGCCCGTGCTGATCTTTACTAGCAGCGAGCATTTCGTTAATCAGTTTCTGCAATTTCTTATTTTCGAGTTTTAAAACAAGTCGTGCCATGTTTTTCTTAAATTTCCAATCTTATGTTTGATAAATGTTATGAGTTTACCTATTGTTGAAAATGTATAATTTAAAAAAAGTGTTAGACAGGGTTAATACATAGCATTACAACCGATATATTTCTTTAGTCTGTAAAATATCAAAGCACACACATATCTAGTTGAGAGCATTGATTTTTGGTAACTAAGATACCAAATAAATGTATTTTGGTAAGTGTAGGTATTACAGTAAAAGCTAACATTTTAACATCAGAATAATAATGTTATGCATTAAGTAAACTATTTATTATTAAATAGTCATTTCATATTTGATATAATTTAAAGAAGTTTTGTATTTATAATAGTAAGTAATAACTATGACTGCATATAATTAATATGTTTGTTTTTTAAGTATGTCGTAGCCAATTAGTGAAATTAACCATTTCGTGAAATGGAAACGGCTTTTTAACACTTCATGAAATACGAAAATATTTCATGATATGGCCACTTTTTCATGATTATGAACATGATTATTATTATGATTATTTCAACGATTACTCCAATTTGACATCGTGTAATTTTTTCTCACAATTTGGTCATTCGCTTTGTGTACCGAAAATATATTTTATATTTATCAAAGTTCTATAATCATTTTTGTTTGTTATATTGTGTAATATGGTAAGTATATTATATTAAGTTTAGTTTAATAATACGAGTAGTAATATGTAGGTAATTAAATAAATTGTATAATAATTTTAATAATTTATTTATAATATAATTTATCTTACAGGTAGTTGATAATTATTTATTTAAACAATTTCATGAATTATGGAAACTGCTGTTACATTTAATACTACTTTTAAAACAAGCACAACGTTTAGTTTGACAAGCACTTTTGCATGTACAACTCAAAAATCCTTGACCTCCAGATATAATTTTAATTGTTTCACACAAAGTTAATTCGTTTTGCTTGTTAACTTGATCAGCAGATATGAAATTTGTTGTAGCACGCTGCATATTTCCAAAACTTAACCATCCTTTAATAAACCATGATCAGTTCCTACATATTCTTCTATACCTACATCTCATTTTTTTCTCAACTACAACAGCAATCATGCGTGCTGGGTCCAAAGGCCCTATATCGACTTTTGGAATAGGGATTGTAATGCAGTCATTAATATTGAACATAGAAATTATAACCTGTAACAAATAACAAAAAAAAATTACTTAAATATAGGTACTGTACACATCCAATTTATTTACTATATATGTCAAATTGTTATATATAGTCAATTATTAGATACCTGTAACATTCTTTCGATGGATTTTTTTACCTGTATGCACTGCTTCACGTTCTTCTATTTTTGATTTGTTTTACATAAATCACAAAAATCTTCTGTGGATTCAATTTTACAAATTCCGCAATATCGTTTAACATTTATTTGTTTTTGTATTTCCTCTACATATTGGTTGTATATTTCTTCAAAATCTTCTTCAGCTATTAATTTTCTTAAAACTTCTTGTAGTAAATTAGATGTTGTTAACAGGGCCGGATTTAGAACAAGTGCCGCCCCTACTCCAAGAAAAAAAAATCTTGTAATTATTTCTAATAAATTTATTTAATTTTAAAGAAATTAGGTCAATAATCATTATAAACAAAACAAATAATTAGCAATTCTAATTTGTCGTGTGCGATGTGCATGTATTTTTAAATTTAAATGAATTACCGGTACTCATGATTAATGGGTGGTCACATTAATTAATTTTGTAGGTATTTGTTTAATTTAGCATCAGTAATTTCGGCTATAATTGTCTCAATCTTCATATTTTCATTTAAAATTTTTACTTTTTTCCCGGTTTGTGCAAATAATAGTTGTTCATTCGAATGTAAAATTCACTTTTTGGATTAGATCTCTCATATTATTAAGATTATACAAAAATATTTTAAAGGAAGTATCTAAAATGCATGAATGTGCAAGTACAATGCAATCCATTCACCGACTATACACATTGCATACACATTTGAACTTTATTCAATTCAAATTCAAATTTTATATTATATATTATATATTATTGTATAATATAATTTGTGGTAAAGGAATTTTGTGCTAAAATTAATAGTTATAAGATATAATTTATAACACATTTCATATCTACTGATAAAAATGATTATAAGACCATGATAAATATAAAATATATTTTCGGTACACAAAGTGAACGACCAGATTGTGAAAAAAATTACACGATGTCAAATTGGAGTAATCGTTGAAATAATCATAATAATAATCATGTTCATAATCATTAAAAAAGAGGCCATATCATGAAATATTTTCGTATTTCATGAAGTGTTAAAAAGCTGTTTCCATTTCACGAAATAGTTAATTTCACTAATTGGCTACGATATGTAGTAGTATATACCTATTGTATCCATTAAACTGGTTAAAGTTTATATTTTAATAATTAAAGATTAAAGTTTAAAGTCAAGTATAAATACTTTGAAATATAATTTTCAGGATTCAAAAATGAAAAAAAACCATATTTAAAAATAAACAAAATGCCAAAAACACTAAATGCTCAAATGAGATTTCTGCCGATGGAAAGACATATCCCCCATTGTTCTGTGAACATACTTGGACTAAATCTGTTCCAATTTGTGTAATATATTAATTACTTTTATTGAATTATAAAATATTTTTTTTTAATTCATTGATATTTATATTATAGCATAGAATTCATCAAATTAAGCCTTCTATGTCTATTGGACGCAACTATAGACTAGAACTTCAAAAAACGTTTACGTTCAATTAATCAATTACGTGAAAATAAGTTAAGCTTAAAAATATTAGATGAACAGTATCATTTAATGAAAACTCCCATCGTGGTTAAAACCAAGAAATATAAAAAAGAAGATAAATCCGTCGGGAAAACTAAAATCAACACTTCTCCCAGAGTTGTGGATTTAAGGGTGAAATATATATTAATAATATTATAAAAATGTTGTAGCATATCTGTCATTTTTTTCAGGATTTATTATCTGGAAAATATTATAATGATAAAGCAGAGATGAGAGAAAAAACAAAATGCAGAAAAGAAGGCTAGAAAAGAAAAATCTTCAGAAAAACCAATGTTACCTCCAAAGTAATTTTATAAACGAATCATAATATTTTACAATTAACAAATATTTATGTTTTTTAATATGTATACTTATAAAGCTCATGAGGCATTAGATTCTGAAGAAACAAGTAATGCATTGTTTTTGCAATCATATGTTTCCTTGTTATTAATATTTTCAGATTGTAATCTTCACTAGGCAGGCTTACATAATACCTCATAAGTAGGACAGAAGACTTGAAGCATTTGCATATTTATTTTGCACAGTTACAAAAATAACAGAGTACGAAACAAAAATGTTTCATGCTTTCACAAAGTTAGTTTTGAAATTTTATTTTGCATATAAATGCATAATTTGAGTCCTTTTTGTTGTTAGGGCATATTTTACACTTTTATACGCTATTTTATACTTTTTAAGACATATTTAACTTAAATTGATTTTTTCCAAAGTGACATTTTTTTATCAAACAATACAGTCAAAATTTTTGGATAAAAATGTATTTATTTTTAATTTTTGTCGTATAATATGGTTTTTGACTGTCCGCGGGCATACATTTTTTCTAGAAATGATAACGATCTAACGTCGTTTCTTTAGAGAAAATTAAGTAAAATGTATTTTATTTATTTGGCTATGGTATATAATATATTTAAATTATGTATTTGTTTTGCCTTGTTTTTAATGCTATTTATTTTATTAATACTTTTAAATAAAAAGGCTAAAAAAATTTTTAAGTGCATATTATGGGGTTTTTAAGTGCATAAGTGCTTGCATATTTAGAGCTTTTTTAGAGCTACAAGTCCTCTGCCCTATTCATAGGTTATTAATATAGATTTTTTAATATATTTGTACAAAGTTAATACATAAATTAATTATTTAATTCAGTTATTATTATTACTAACATACATTAGGTACCTCTTAACGTTTATTTAACATCTCTGTTATATCTGTTATATCTGTTGTATCAGCTGCTCTTGTAAGTATAGTAGTTATGTGCTCAGTGGCGGACGCAGGAAGGGGTTTTAGGAGTAACCCCCCCCCCCCCCCCCCCCCCCCGCGGGGGGTTAATTGAAACACCAACCCCCCCCCCCCCCCCCCACCAAAAAAAAAAAACAAAGAAAAAAAAATAAAATA